TGCCGCAAGTGCACTGGTTTGTTCTACTTGCATGAATCTCAATCTGCTTCACACTTTGTATGGAATATACACATTTCAGTAATAACAGCAGACTACTTCCCTGAGACAAACACAGCGCATCTAAACCCTGCAGTGCTTTTTACTTTTTCATAAATTTGCATCGGAGCAGCAGCAAAGGTTTTTTCATTTGTTATCCTCTGAGAAAATGCTTAATGGTCGCTTAGTTACAAGGGACGCCAGGGGAGCGCGAGCGCAAAGCCCATTGTAAATGGTCAAGAAAACCTTACGCTTGTCCCTTCAGGTCAAAATAACAACGCATGCGAAAAGTGCTGTGGCTAGTGTTTAAAGAGATTGTAAATGAAAAAAGACGCAAGGATAATCGCCAGAGTGGCTTTTTGTGCATCTCAGCCACTAGCTCCCCATCTAAAAGATTGTTTAACATAGTGTTAATGTAGTCATCCAACTTCACAATTTGTAATGTTGCAATATGTATTTGAATAATGATGTTTAGTTCCTTTACTTGAAAGCTCAGATTTGATTATCATAATTTGTGTTGTTTACAGAGTTTGAGGTTTACTGCATCATAATAATTAAAGTTTGCTTTGATTGTTCAGTGTTTACACTTAACCATTGCACACACTTTGTAACATTTTATCAAGTTTAAGAGTCTCTTTACGCTTTTGTTTATTTTATTATAAAGAGATTAGATATTTTGTTGAAATATTTTTGTTTTTGCCTATTAAAACTATTTGCCATAGTAATGTTGGTAAACTAAATAAAAGTGATTAATAAAAAATATCCTAATATTCCCAAATGGATTGTTAAAACATATTTAATAATTATTAATACTGAATGATATGAAACATTATTTTTTTTTTTGCAATATCGCCCAGCCCTAGTCGCTGTGAGAATAAACACGTTTATATATGAATATAAGCAGGTATAAGTAAATATACAAACCAGGGTGCATAAAACTCCACCAGAATGATGTCAGCATTGTTCACCACATCATCAAAATTGTCTTTAGTCAAGACTAGAGTAGCCTCTGGAGGAGGTTTCCAGTCTGGTTGGGCAACTTCTTTAACCCGTTCCACGATGGCTGTAAAAAATGAAAGTTAAAATCATGATCGCTAAACAATAGACCAGGAAACATAATCAGTTTAAATTCAGAGCAAGCTAAAGGAAGTTCTCTAACTCACCATGCTCACTCCGATCCCCATCATAGTCCAGGGGCTCTCCCTTTTTAAGTATTTTGATGGTGGGATATCCAGAAACTTCGAACCTGCTGCCCAAACCACTGGCTTTAGTGGCATCAACCTTTGCCACTGGAATAGGTGGGTCATTTTCCTTCAGCGTCTGAGCGATCTTTTCATACTCGGGAGCAAACTGTTTGCAGTGGCCACACCTGAAAAAGTGTAATATTTGCATGGACAAGATCTTTGTCAGGCAATGATACTGTATGTGTCCAACTCATGCCAAATAAAGAAAACCTACCATGGTGCATAAAACTCCACCAATACGGTGTCTTTGCCCTCGATGAAGGTGTCAAAGTTTGCATCTGTCAGGACTAGCACCCCATTCTCTTCCTTTACTTCAGTGTCATCTGCATCCTCATCATCGTCGTCATCATCATCATCTTCCTCTTCTCCCAGATCTTCTGCTGAATCTAAACAACAAATTTATTCATGAACAAATAGGAAATGCATCAAGCTAATAAATTTGAATTTCCTGTTGTTCCTTGATAGTTTTCTTAGGTATCATAACAAAATGAATCATTATTGTGTGCACGTTGCATGTATGATCACCACAGAACGCTGTTTAACCTCCAGTGTAGCCCTAAACAGCAACAATGCACCAAGCTAGCTAAAAGTGCAACGTTTTGGGCTGTTCCAAAAGATGTAAAACATTTCTACACATTTGCAACTGATATCTTACCATCTTTGGCATCGTCTTCGCATCGGTGTGGTTTAATGAAGTGTGTCACTCCAAGCAACATAATCAATAGAAGCGTAATCTTCTTCATGGTCTGTAATGCGCACGCCTCCCTTAGTTAGCTTTAAAGATTCCACTGAAGCACATACACTGCTGTCGGTACTTAAAGAAATAAATACTGTGATAGTTATGGCAACGTTTAATAACAATGATTCGCCTCAGCTCATCACAACTCGCGCATTTTCCCTCAATGCTCTTTTTCTCACTTAGCTTCCCCACTCCTTTACTTGAACTTGTCTGACTTGCCACGCTGTGATTGGCTGGTGACGAAAGAACTTGGCCAATCATCGATCGCCACTCAAGTCCGCAGCTCATGCACGTTCAAAACCGCAATTGGGTGGTCTGCCATGGGCTGCAAGCTGATTGGATGGTTACTGAAAAGAGTCCACGAGATCCGGGAAGTGTAACTAGGAGGATTGGGCAATGTGAAATTTATTTTCAGTTGTTCAAGCTATGTAGGCAGTGCCGCCAAGGTACGCTTACATGAATGAAGACAAAAACAAAAAGATTAATTATTTATTGAGTTGATAAACTGTTCTCAGGTTGAATGAAGCATTGGTTTTGGGTTTTGTCTTGAGTAATAAAAATGAGTTGCACTTGTTAAATTTGTCAAATGTAATGTCTGAATTCTTGAGGTGGTATTTAACATTTTTAGGTACATGACTTGACATAAAACATCACATTTGATAATACCATTTGGTAGCCTTGCTTAGGCCAGTGGTTCCCGTGGGGCCAGGAACCCCTGGGGGCCAAAAGTCTCATAAATATATAAACTATTAGAATTACCATATTTTGTCAATAAAGTTAAAGTTAATAGTATTTAATAGTTACATAAAAAAACGACCTGGACATCAAAAGCCATCACCTATAGCTTTTATTTCATTGGATTGCGACCCCTGGGTTGTTTACATTCTATTAATGACACAGCAATTGCAATAGTCAGATGCAGCAGACTGATTTTATGGCACAATGTTAAACTTTTACACTTTTATACACTCAAGTACATTTAAAAAAGGCCACAACTGAACGATGAGGATGATCTTTAAATCAAAAAATGATATGGTTGATAGACTGCTGCACTTTTTTTGTGTTGTCAATTTGCTCATGTTTATATAGTTTCTATCTGCGTGTTCACATTGTGTGCAATGTTTGTATTTATTACCAGCTCAAAGGATAATGGAGGTTGCAAATCAATGGAATTGGTATTTTGGGGATCTAACAGGCTAAACAGTTTGGGAACCCTTAACTTAGGCTAATCAACATTGTTTAAAACACACATACACAAATGATAATTAATGTTAATTAAAGACAAAAAAGACAATAAATGGCCTGAAGATGCTAATTCTGTTCCACAATTACGAGAACAATATAAATCAGATTTAAAGATGTTTGCCATTATAGGGAAGCAGACCCGAGTGAGTAATTTATTGTTGTCTGTTGGGAAGAGACTTCACATCTCTTGTATTAACACGTTTTTTGAGAGAGAGAAAAAACTAGGCTACATACATTTTTAATTAATAGAATTAAAATAAATTAAAGTGATAGTTCACCCAAAACGATAAATCACTCACCATTTACTCATCCTCAAGTGGTTATAAAACATATGAGTGTCTTTTTTCTGTTGAACACAAAATAAGGTGTTTTGAAGAAAGCTGAAGACCTGCTGTAAACTTGAAATTAGGAAAAACAAATACTGTGGAAGTCGATGCTACAGAATTTCAGTTTACGTTCTTTCTCTTCTTTAAAATATCTTCTTTTGTATTTAAAGAAAGAAAGAAAGAAACTCAAACTGATTTGGAACAAGTAAAGGGTGTGTAAATGGTGGCAGAATTAAAATGTTTGGTCTACTTTACAGCTTAATGCAGTGTAAGAGAAGTCACACACACCTAAAATTGTGAAGGGTACAAATGCAGGTTGCAGCACTTCTAACAGTGACTGACTGTACACAATTCTGACATAAATTTGATGACATAAAGGCAAGTTTTAAAAAAATGGTAATCGACCAAGTTGGCCATTATGCTCTTTCTAATAGTAGAGCCATGACACTTTTGTCTCCCAATAACAAGACAATAATAAGATCTCAAGTACAAACTGAACAACTTTTGTTTCACATACATTGATCAATGTACCCTGGAATAATTGTGTGCTGACCTATTGAATCGTCCATACCCTCAATAGGTAATGAACTACACATGTAAGACTGTCCAGCTTCCTTTCCATGACCTACATGACCCATGTTCACTTGAGGGCAGCTTATAATAGTGCACCTTTTTATTTCATTGATGACTTGGGTGTTGAGGGCATTATTATGCTTGTCTGCCATACTTCTTGGGTCAGGCTGCGTCGATGATTTCGAGGACATAATGCTCTTCCATTCAGCAGGTGCACAATAGCTCTGCTTACTTGAAGAAAGCATTTGTTCCTGTCCAATCTCTTCTGAGTCCCTGACACGAACTCTGAGATGTTTTCTGAATCTCTGTGGTCTTGGAAGATTCTCTTTCTGTATCCTTCCTGTCCCTTGTGAGTACTGAGACAACCTGCATTCAAGTAGTGATCTTGATTTAAAAAATAAATGAATTATAATGGTAAACCTTTATTCATATTAATCTCAACAATATTGTATTTTTAAGGATTAGAAAATTCTGTTATTAATATTCACCTGATTTCGTTTCAAATTCAAGACACTTTAATTCATCTTCACAAATTAAGAAATTTTAGCGGAAGTCTAAATGCTTCCTCATCCTCCATAGATGGCAAGGTCTTTGCTTGACTAAGATGAAGTCCAGAAAAATTTATTTAAAAGACGTGCAGTGATTCAATCAAGCTACAGTTAAAGTCAGAATTATTAGTCGGCCAGAATTTTAGCCCCCTATTTCTGTTTAACGGGGAAAAATTTTTTTTAACACATTACTAAACATAATAGTTTTAATAACTCATTTCTAGTAAAAATGGTTGTATTTTATCTTTATTTGCATGTTATTTAAAATGACATGATTCAGATGGCACGGCTTAAATATGAACAGTGTCCTGAGTCGTAGCTGGGCACCGCAGACAGCTGCTGACTTGCGGTGCTGGTGTGCGTACCCTGAAATAAACCTATGTTTACAATTCTAAATTGCATGGTGCTGCACTGGTGTGGCGCATCCGGTGTGTCACCCCCTTTGCGATAGTCTGGCTGCGGACAGTTACCACCCATTTTGGATCCTTGTTGGAACTCACACTGCTAGCAATCTGCGATTTATGTTTATTTGGCAAGCTAAATGCATTCTTTACTGTACAGGAGACACGAAGGAGATTGATTGTCAATGATCTACAGCCAATCAGGACGCAGAACACAATGCACTGTAAAAAAACAAAATAAAACAAGCATGTCAAATTGCACTAAAAATTTGTGAAATTGCAAGGCTGCAAAAGGTGAACCGCGTTATAGCGAGGGACCACTGTATTGGTATTTTTCTGAACGTCAGGATCCTTTCTGTCAATGGAGGATGATGCAGCTCTCAGATTTCCCCTAAAATATCTCCATTTGTGCTCTGAAAATAAACAAAGGTCTCAGGGAAACGACATGAGGGTGAGTAATTAATATAAAATAAATTTATTTCATTTTTGGATAAACTAACACCTTAATATTGACAAATGTACCTGTGAATGTGTTCCTTGTGTGATAACAATGAGCCATTACTCCCATCCAGGAATACTTTATGCTTCTTTTTGTGTAGCTGACTAGTCATATAGGTTCCGTCCACACACTATACAAACCAATGAATTACATGTTATGTTGACGTTGTAATTTATCTGTGGCCAATACCATTTATTGTATTAGCATACCTGTCAACCCTCCTGTTTTTGCTGGGATTCTCTTGTATTTTACCATTCTATCCTGCTATCATCCCATTTGATAATTTTTCTGTATTTCTCCCATATTTTTAATATTTCTAAGTGAAAGTACCATCAAAGAGCCGATCTCAAACGTAATTTAATTGCAAGAGCTGGTCAAGAGAATTATGCATTCGCATTAAAGCATCATAATTAATAAATAAACGGCCGCATTCACTCCCTTTCCAATAAAGCTATGCACCAACCATCACCATTACGCAACCTCTAAATCAGTCATGTAAATCAGCCTTAACTGTGCTGACTGTTGACAGTCAGTAAAGACATTGTTCCCAGATCAGCTTCTGTACACGTGATTTGAAGAGAAGCAAAAGTGGACACTTGGATTTGGATGTGTTTTTTAAACAAACTATACTTAATAATAAATAAAAATGTCTGTCATGGCGTGTTTTATTTTAAACACAAATAATTATTTCTTAAATGAGCATAAACAGTAACAAAAGTAATCGAATTATTTCATTAAAGATCTGTGGACTCTTAAAGGGAGACCTCTGTTATAAAAAAATAAATAAATAAATAAAAACAGTGGATCTAAATGAGAAATTTGCTGCTCTTCACTAAATGGATTTGGGAAACTATTTAAACTTTATTAAACTGGTCTAAATTATTAGATTAAGGAGTTTGGGGTCATATTTAGGGAGGTCTTCTAGGTAGCTTTGAGGTTTTTGGGGGGGTTGGGGCGTATCCTGTATTTTTACATCCCAATGTTGACAGGTATGTATTATTACATTAATAAACAAAAACATTAAAATAAAAAAACATTACAGCTGTACAAGTGAAAGTTACCTCAGAGTCTGAGCCATCATGAACATCAGAAAGTGAGATTGAGAAATTGCTCTGGATCTCAAAGAGATTCTCTTTTGCTGGCAGGTTGTCTGACATGGTGCAGAGATGAAATATCAACTCATCCATTAAATCTTCAAACTCTGCTAAGTAAAAGCTCTGTGGAATAAATAGCAGATTAATCATCCTGTTTTATTTAAATTACACAAACCATTTTTGTGAAATCTGTCCTAATGTTTACAGCGAGTGCTTACATTAGCATGGTCTTGATGATCAGTTGACTTGTGACTGGCCTTCTTAATAGTAAATAAAGCTTTGACATAAGATGTCAGCTCAAAGACAGAAAGTAAATCTTTCCTTTTCTTAGATTTATTTTTTGCTTGTTTCACAAAAATGGCAAGGGTGGCAATTAACTGAGGAAAAAAGAACAGAGTAATTGACATAAGTACAGTTAAATGTAGAGAATAGATATCAAACTCGATTCCTGGAGGGCCACAGCTCTGCACAGTTTTGCTCCAAACCTAATCAAACACACCTGATCCAACTGATCAAGATATTCAAGACTACTAGAGACTGTTAAGCAGGTGTGAGTTGTAGCTAAACTTTGCAGAGCTGTGGCCCTCCACGAATTGAGTTTGAGACCATTGATGGAGTGTTCATTTATGTTAGGATATTTCAAACATACCACAGCCTTCACTGGAATCATAGTGAAAAACACAAGTCCCCCAAAAAATGTTGGTGGAACGTGGCTTTGGAGATGAATGTCAATGATGTAAAGGAAACGAGTGAAGAGCAATCTAGTAAGACTTGTAAATGGGACCGAATGAAGGATCAAGTTGCAGAGATTGGAGAGGGCCAGTGCGATAATAACACCTGGTGCCTAAATAGAAATAAAGAAGAGCGATTTAATGGAAGTAGCCTTTGGTTACATCACTGGGGTGATCTGATTTTAACATATTGTGTTATGTAAATCGAGAGGCTACCAGTAACCAAATCAGGTTGGAGAAGATCAGTTTCCAAGTAACCACAGCTGCTGCCACTGTTTTGTTTAGCCGTAGTAAGTGCAGACATTTCAGGAGAAGCAAGTTCACAACAATGCCAAGGAGTGACTGGGAAAGCTGTAAATGATATATGGGTAGTTGACAAATAGGCAGCTTTTTTGTTACGGCTTTTTTTGTTATATTTGTTATAATTTTTGGAGAAAAAAAATTGTTATATGTTGTCTGATGTTTGAGAAAATATAACTATCAGTGACTTAAGCAATTCTTTGACAGTCTTTTAACCAAACTCTTTGTAAAAATGTCCTTTATGATGTGACATCGCAAAAATAAAGAAAAAAAAAACTCTTAATAATGTACAGTGTCAGAGGGATTTCTCTTCATTGTTGGACACTCCCAGCAAACAATTTTGTGTTTAGTAGACATCTAAATGTTGACAGCTTGGCTAAAACAAGGCTACACTTGGGCTGTCAGTGAAAATCTAACTAACATTTAAGAATAGTCCAAAACTAGACTAGTCGTCAAATAGATTAGACAGACTTTACATGTGTAGTCATTCTTTTCTGTTTAGTTGATGATTAGATTAGTTTTGGCTTATTCTTAGACGTCTATTAGATTTTTACTGACAGCCTAAATTTAGCCATGTTTTAGCCAAGACAACTGTTTAGACGTCTATTAGACATCTTTTAAAGACAAAAAAAAGCTTGCTGGGTAATTATTATTATTTATTTGATATGTGAGTATCATGTTTTTCTCAGTGACTAACAAAAACTTAACAAAACTTAAAAATTGTATAGTGGTTCCAATTATTTTTTGACTGTGTTAAATCTTCTTAATTCTGTCTAAATTCTGAGACAAAAACTTAAGAGGTGCACATCATGGCCTTTCAGGCGGTTTCAGTTACATGTTCTTGAATGGGGTCCTTCAACCAAATAAAGTGTTTAGTAGAATTGCCCATGGACATGTTTCCCAGTGACAAAAGTTTCTACACTGTAAAAAATTATCTGAACAATTTGTCATGACAGCATGTTTTTTTAATTCATTGTAACTTATTAAACTATGTTAATCATGTTCTAACTTAATTATTAGTTATGCAAGCTGTTTTAAGTCAGTTTAACATAATATAGAGAGTCACACCTTAAGAGAGTCACACCATAGGACAGTTTAAAAATATAGTTTAAAAAATATTAGTTAATATTCTAAAAATATAAAGAACAGCAGTTCAGAGGGTCATGGAAGACTGTTTATCCATTTACTGCATTTTTAATAATGACAAGACTAATTATATTCTTATCTTGTTTGACAGTGAAAATGCAACATCACATCAACAACCCATATGTTCACATGGTATTCATCAGCAAACAGATAATAGCAAATAGCTCTAAATTTAATATGATGAAAGAAAGTCTGATCACATTTGTGATTCACTAGTCTACTTCCAAAATGAAATATAATTTTGATTGAAACATGATCATCTTGGTCCAAAGACATCTAAACAATACAAAATCAGGACAATGTGCTAAAAGATGCTAAAATAAGTAGACAGAAACCCTGTCCCTTAATCATAATCACAATGTTGTGCATTACAGGTCAAATCACATTTACAATTACAATGAGTAACACACCATTGTTTTTGGATATCTAATAAGTTCCAGTGCAAAAATGAACTTTATAAAAGCCTTTTATTTGTTTAGTATCCATTGGGATGGTGAAAAAATTGACAGTGTGAATGTTATATGAGCAAAAACTTAAAGACTAAAAATGCCAAGAGAACAAACTACAGTCTTCACTAATTCACTACAGCATTTTCTCATAGTGGGGTAGTACAATTACACAGCAAAGTTATTATAATTTTTGTTTAATTAAATTGTATTGTCCTTACCTGCTCACAAAAGAAGATTGAACTTAGATCAACAAGTAATTTAAAATCCTCCTTCTTCAGGAAATCAATCACCTCTGTTTTTAGCTGAAGTTTGTACATAGAACAAATATAAAGCAAGAGACTGCAGATGATAACCGTCACCTGTGTAAAACAAAGCATTAAAATAATGTAAAATACAGATTAAAGGTAGTATAGAAATTAATTATTAACTAATAGTATAATATTTAGAGTGTTATAAGTGTCTAATGTTACCTCTAGCCAGCTCCAAAGACTTCTCCAGTAAACCATGCACCCTCTTTGAGTCATAATATATATTTGCCAATACATATGAAACAGGATGAATACAAGGAAAAGATGCTATAAATAAAAATATGCAGAGGGGGGACTGTTAAAAAATATTCACAATAAAATATATTCACATATTTATATACATAAATAAATTAGTAAAAATCTGGTTCATTACTTTTTCCAAGTATCATTATTATTAAGCATTATGTAATCTGTGTTATAATTACAATCATTATAATATAATATAATATAATATAATAAAATATAATATAATATAATATAATATAATATAATATAATATAATATATATTCATTCATTTATTCATTTTCTTTTCGGCTTAGTCCCTTTATTAATCCGGGGTCGCCACAGAGGAATGAACCGCCAACTTATCCAGCAAGTTTTTACACAGCGGATGCCCTTCCAGCCGCAACCCATCTCTGGGAAACATCCACACACACATTCACACCCACACTCATACACTACGGACAATTTAGCCTACCCAATTCACCTGTACCACATGTCTTTGGACTGTGGGGGAAACCGGAGCACCCGGAGGAAACCCACGCGAACGCAGGGAGAAAATGCAAACTCCACACAGAAACGCCAACTGAGCCGAGGCTCGAACCAGCGTCCCAGCGACCTTCTTGCTGTGAGGTGACAGCACTACCTACTGCGCCACTGCTTCCCATAATATAATATAATATAATATAATATAATATAATATAATATAATATAATATAATATAATATAATATAATATAATATAATATAATATAATATAATATAATATAATTACACTTTATTTTAAAGAGATCTAAAATTGAAACATTATACACCCTCAAGTGGTTCTAAACCTTTATGTGTTTCTCTCTTCTGCATAAAAAAAAAAAAAAAACATTTTGAAGAAAGCCTACAGACTCCATTGGAAAAACAACAGGTTCTTCAAAACATCTTCGTTTGTGTTTAACAGAAGAAAGGAGCTCAAACAGGTTTGTAACAGTTAAAGGATGAGTAAATGACTGACTAAATGTTACTGTTTAAAACAAAAACAACTATACTGAACACTCTAAAAAATATTGCTTAGACCAAACAAAAAAAATCAACGCAACAGTTTGCATCAATATTTTCAAGTTACGGCAACATCTAACAAAATGAAGTTCAGACAGCAAACTTTATTATGTTAGCCAAATTACCTTTACCTCTTCAATCAGAGGTATTTTTACATAGCATAACCTCAATTTTTTAAGTTGAGTACTTAAAAAATTAAGTTGTTCCAACTAGCTTTTTTTATTAACATTTAAACAAAAACCAGTGTTATGTACTTAATTACCATAATTATACATGCTAGTTTTCAAGTTTAGAATCTCAAAAAAATTAAGTAGCTGAAATTAAATTTTTTGTTTGTTTTCATATTATTGTTAATTTACGTGCTTGTAAGAAATACATTTTTAAACAACAGCAATTTTAATTTCAGTAACTTTTTATTCATTTAGAAACACAGTTTTCAGTGTTTTATTTTAAATATTGCACTTCTCAAAGTTTACAAAACACAAATGTGTACTGTCTCACAAATTATAAACAAACTGACCCGTCAGCTTTGCCTTCAAAAATGTGCATGCATGCATAGCTATGCCATCACAATGAATTCCAACAAAACAAGAGTTATAGGCATTGATACACTTAAAGCTAACTATTAACTTATAAATTGTACATTTTACAAACTACTTGTTATTAGCTAACCTTAATTGTAAAACATGTAACATTTGTATTATTATAAACAAACATATGTAAATGCCACCATTCATATAAACAGTATGAAATAAAAAGATCAGCATGTGGACTTCAAAATACAAAACAATATAGTTGCAACATAAAGAGCAAAATGTACTTTGAAATAAGTAGAGGCTTCAGAAAATGCTGTTCTTGACACGCATTACTTTTGCACTGGGCTTCAGTCCATCAAGTTCAAGAAACAGCTTCTGAAACACTTAACAAGTATATTTAAGCTCCTTGGGGTAGCTCAGATTCAGAGCATATATTATGCCCGTTAGCAGAGCACAACACCTTGAGTTATCCATTCCAATCAGGATTCTGATTCCCTCAACAATGATTGTTCCCGTCTTGTGGTTTAATTCCATAGTTGACAGATCACCAATGATTCTTGTGTATTCTTGTAAAGCAAGATAAAAAAAAAATAGATTAGCATGATAGAGATAATTAAATTTATAATTACTTCAGCTTTTTATTTTACTTACATTTGATTTCAGCTAATCTCTGGAAACTTTGTTTTATTTTATCCCTTACATGGTCATGCACCCAGCTACTCAATCATAAGAATAATTCGTTTCACAATTTAATTTAAATGGAAAAGTGAAACGCAACAGTCATACCCATTTTACAAATCTTTCTCATTATTGTCAACATCTGTTTATTGAACTAAATAGTACATTGTTATTATAACACAGAGCTAGGTAAAACCAGTGTGTGTGGACAATGTAATATACCTACACATTAAACTAAAAGAGAGCAGTCATTGAGCATATATTTTGTCTTGTATGTTTCCACTGTCAAGGGAAGATTTAATTTTAATTTTAAAACATTGTAATACTCACAGCAAACTCCTTAAAAAGATCCTCTTCTTTCTCTCCAAGATAGACAACAAGACAGTGAATGGCTACTTCTCTCCATACTTCAACTGCATTGTTCTGTTTAATTAGAAAAATATATATCAAGATAAAGTACCTACAGTAAATGAATATAGTTTTATCTGAACAAACAACTGATGGCAACCTAACAATTTAACACAAATCTAAACTATTCTAGTGTGTACAAATTATTTACAATACCTCAAGAAGCATATCCTTAATCCTTCTGATTCTTTCCCCTTTAGCTCCTCTCCTGGATGAGGCCAGGTCCATTAGTTTTGGGTGCGTTTGTCAAGTTTGGCCATAAATGTGGATTCAAGACCTACAGTGGTTATCCTCTTGAATTCTTCATTTATCTGTAGAAAAAATAGAATAATTAAATAATGGAATAATTGTATACAATGTGTAACACAACAAATAACATGTAATATGTTATTGTTATAAGAAGTTTTTAGCATAAATAACTTGAAGATGATTTTCTTGCAAAATTGTGAAACTAGACTAAAAATAAAACTAAACTTACCTGTGTTGCACCTGATAATGCAGGCCAGCGCTCCAAGATATCCCTTTTTTCTTGCCCATTTTATCTGCAACAACTTGAAAATTGTTTATTTGTGTTACTTCATGCAAAAGGTTTACATTAGACAGATTTGTGGACTGTAAGATGGGCTTTACAACCCAAGCAGGACTGTAAAATACCTTTGATGATGGGTCCAGATGCTGATCGAGATATAAAATTTAACTTATTAACAACCTCTTCTATACCTCTATCTATACACCGTAAGATACATTAAAAGTGCTCTCCCGTTTTAGAAACAACAAAGCCATTTTTTTTCTATGCAGTTTGGCAGGACTGTCACATCATTATTGTCATCTTGACCTTCATCAGACAGCTCCCCACTTTGACCTTCCACATCACTGTGTTGATCTGCATTGAATGAACATACATACCTTTTTATTATGTCTGCCTTGAAGTCATGCAATGAGTGAGGAGTATGTTTCGGCTTCTGTGGGAAGCAAATGTACCATAAATGTTAGTTCTGAAATTGCAGTTCTGAAATACACAGATGATAGTTTCGTGTTTTTTTTTTTTTTATTTCTATGGAAATTGTCATGGCATAGCAACAAGGACAAGTAAAATAAAAACTTTCTGCAAATCTGGAGGTTATCTAAGTTTGATGTCTTGATAAATGTGATCTAAGGCTGCCCCATGTTCTGAAAAAACACAAACAATCTTGACAGAGGCATGGAAATGGTTGCCCACAATTACCATGGTGTAGTCTGTAATGTTTTAGCAAAACTATTTATGTTGATGTTTCAAATTTACACATTTTGCACCCCCAACCTATTTTATATACAAGCCTACTTATATCTAAAATACAGATCAGCCTAGAAAGTTGTAATACAGTTGCATGAACTTTGTATGAAAATCTTAGCAATCAGTAGATAAATGTAATATTTTCCATAAGAGCAGGAGGAATAAAATACAAATTTCAGGTTGGATAACAACTGTGAGCAAGCTCCAGAATATATATTTCTGCTAGGGTAACTAACATAAAACATGCAGGATAAAGCAATACTATATATGAAAAAAGCATCCACTATATAAACTTCGTTATTTTGACATATATACTAAATTGCCTTTCTGGCTTACCGTATGTGTTTTTACTTTCTTATCTACTATTTTCTAGTCAAAAAACACTGCCAACATCAACTATAATTTACCAGGAGTAGCCAACACTAATGGAATGTAGAATATTGATTTGGAAATGAAATAAAACCCAGATATCTCACCTTAAAGTATCCTTTGTGCCAAATGGTCTGCTTAAAACTTGTCCGGACATGCCTCTTGATCGTTCAGTATGGGAGGAGCTTTGAAATCCAGAACTCCATTGGTGTGGAAAAATTGAGTTATCAACGCAATTTTTTGGGGTTGTTATAAGTTAAATATTGTTTTAAACTAATTGACAGATATATTTATCTTTAAATTACCCTCTTTTTTAAGTTGATGTAATTATCAATATTTTCCTGTTGTGTAAACTTAATAAAATTACTCTGGCAATTTAAAAGTTTTAATATAATCAGCAATATAGAATTTTTAAGTTACAACAATGTATTAAACTCTGTAGTGGTAACAGATCGCTTGAGTTATTTTTTAGAGTGAAGGTGACAAAAATAATAAATAGATTTCCAATACTCTATATTTAACAAAATACTAAAATATTTTTGAAGCTCAAATGACCTTTGGAGATCTTTTTTGAAGTTCTTAAATGGAGTATACTTTAAAGAGAGTGTATTTTATTGTGCACATTAAAAAGCTAATTTGTTGATTCTAATAAGATACTCACCTCACAGATCATAACACTGTAGTCGAGGGCTGTTGGGAAATAGTAGAGTCTAGTGGACTGTACACTTGCTGAGGGCAACAGAGCTCCTGTAGATGTTTTCTCTACTAGGATAGTGACTGATGTGAAGAGGTTACTGGGCCCGTTGTACAGGACAAACTGGAGAATCACAATTTGGGTGAATGGAGTCATCCAGCCAGTCTCCAAAAGCCTTTTAACAGACGTAAATGCGTTCAACCTATTTAGGCAATACAACAGATATTATGCAATCAAATTATATATAACAAACAATCTTCACATGTAAAATAATTAATTAGCAGGTACCTTGTTTTTCCCAGACTCACATACACTCTTTCTCCCTTGTAACATCCAAGTTTACCACAAAATGGAGCAAGTTTCTTTGTCGCAGACTGGTTATCAAAGCAATTATTTTTGTCGTTGCTCAACAAATTCAAGATCTGTTCAAAGAGAGAAAAAAAGTTTTGAATAATGAACTCACATGTTTACCAAAGCTGCTTATTTATTTGAGCAAAAGTACAATAAACGCAGTAATTTGTTAAAATATTATTGAAATATTTGTTATAGATATGGTGTCTTTATCCTTCTCAAATCATTTTAAAATTTGGCTGCTAGAATTGGTTTTTCCTTAGTTATTATAAGTTGTTATCGGAGCTCAGTTAGTTGCAATGCTCTTTTTACAATCGTAAATAGTATAGTAAATACAGCTTAACTGTTTAAAAATTTTTAAACCAATATTTTTATTAGGATTCTTTGATAAATTGAAACAAAAACACAAGTTAAACAGAAACACACTTTTATAAAATATTAAATAACTTCACAATCACATCTGGTTCATTTAAAGCAATCTTGCTGAATTAAAAGTAAATGTTCATAAAATATGAAACAGCAAACCATTTAGAAAAATGGTTCCCAAGCAAGAAATCAGCACATTACAATTATTTTGGAAGAAATGTGTGACATAAACACTTGGTTAATATAATAAAGACAATCAATTATTAATTAATAAAGCTTCACTAAACATAAACATCAATCTTAGTTAGTCCCGAAGATGTCCAATGTATCTGTTTTGTTGTCACATGAAAGCATTTATTCTTTCCCCCTGTGAAACAGTGATGGTGAAATACCTGGCATGAGGAGTTATGTGTGCTCTTGATCTTTGTAATGACTGGACTTCCAATAAGAGAGAAAGCAGCTCCTGTCTGTTAAAGCAACACACATAGTAAACAGTATTTCCACTTTATTGTGTTTTAAATACTAACAGATGTCAAATATATCATTAAATGTACATCATGTTCTTGTCTTTCATCCTGGTTGTCAGCATTATTGTATAGTTTCTCCAGCAAAGAGGTTGTTGTCCAGTTCCACCAATCATCATGTTTTTGGATGGAGTGAAATGAATTTTGCAGGCTTCTGTTAATATGAAACAATTGTTAACACTTGCAGTAATTAAATATTTTCAAGTTTTGTGTTAATTGGGATTGTCTCTTGTACATACTTTGTGAAATGAGTTTTGATAGCCTGGTTCAAACGGTACTTTGAATCACTGTCAGACTTTCCATAGGCCACAAATATAATCATCCACAGCATGATGAGGTGTAGCATCAAATCCCTGTTGAAAAAAAAGTCATTCTAAGTGCCAAAGATACATACTAGACAATTATATCTAAAAATATATTAAAATGCACTCCTAAAGGGTGATGATTGGGACAACAAAATTGACATTTATTTGTGTGCCTGTGAATGATTTTTTAGACTAAAAACGATTGAATTTTCAGATATTTATTTAGTTTTTTCATTCATAGTACTGATTTTCAGATGTTTTATTAAAGTGCAAGTGAATTCAAAATGTACAACATTTATTCTGCTAGAGCACATTGTTATTCTTTAGATGAACAATTAATCTGAACAAGTTAGTTTACTGAAAAAAAACGGTTTGCTTTGGTAATCTTCAATCAAAGTCTGACCATCTGATATCTCATTTGTAGTAGTGGTTCTTCTCTGAGGACATCAGTTTGACAGCTTCAATCATAATAGTTTTATATACGTCCCTTTTTATGCTATGAGATTATGCTAAAAGCAAGCCCTTTCTTCCACTTAATATTCTGTTTCAGTTGGAAATACATCAGCATACCGAAATAAAAGTCTCAGCAACTTCCAGTTCATGCAGTTATGGTTATTTATTACTAGTCAATTAAAGACAATTATTTTTTTAGCTTGTATAAACATAAAAAGACACTCAAAAACATGGAAAGCAGCAATATTAATTTTTGCAGAACTACACCGAATGCTGTTTTTACTAAGACCAAGACTATGAACATTATGAGAAAATTAGCAGATTTGCTTTTTACATTTTTTGCCTTTTGATTATAGACTACAATGTTTAATCCATGCTGGCTAATGCACTTCAACAATACATCATGATAAAGGTCAGTAGGCAGTTTGATAATAACATATTCAACCTATAAACAGCTTTACTTTTGTTTACTATCACTTTTTGACCTTATTTTGCACTTTGGTGGATGCATATATTGTAGGAGACCTCCAAAACAAAAACAGAAACAGAAAAATATGGCCACTTTAATGTCTGTGTGAAAACAAAAGTTTATCCACTGAAATATGTGCAAAAGAAAGCCTTGCCTCCCACTCAGTATTCTGTTTCAGTTGGGTGTACAATAACATACTGAAATAAAAGAAACATCTGGTTTACACAGACTTTGAGAGTAAATCTGATCAAAAAGTAATACCTTGTAGTTTTATATAAGAGTGTTTGTTTCTTGATCTGGCCTCTCACAAGCTTCAAATCTTTTGAATTTGGTGGACGCACTAAGCGCAAAAATCTGGCTCTCTGACGGTCAGCAAGCACCTGCTCAACATAGTTACAAAGGCATTATAATCATAATTATATCTACAATTCCTTTGAAAAGATGTATCAATGCATATTTACCATTTCAAAATGTGTGCTTCTCTCTGTGAACTGCTGGCATTTACTACCAAAGACATCAGATTTTTGGCCTCTGTGTCTCAATAACTCAAAGACAGGCTCTGTTACACTCAGACTGTGGAACCAGTCAGATCTTTTTCGATGTTTTAGAGAAACTGTGATTGCAGTTATAAGAATCTGTAACAGGATGTAAAATTATCAGGATTTAATTTATATTGATCATTAAAAGCTCCAGTGATGAGATTGTTGGTCAAATATTAGAATAAAACCATATACAGCTATTCTCAGTGAGGGATCAAGATGATTTACCATCGCTGGATGCAAAACAAAACCACCGCAGATGAGAGAAAAGAAGACAGAATGAGCCCACAGTTGAGTCTCTGTTTTGTTAAACCTGGAGTGTATAAAATTTTAATTAATTTGCATATGTTTGGGAAACAAATATTGTGCACAAAGACACAATATTCAAGTCTCAACAAAGCATCTTACTAACAAATATCACCCACTTTAGTCCGAGACTACCCGTGATGGTAACACATGTAAGACAGAGGGACACGCAGAGGGTCCAGCCCAGATAACGACACCAGGCACCAAGACTTTGAATTGTTCCATCACAAAACTGCTGGTTCTTCAAGACCTCTGAAAGTGACAATTAAAAGTTTTATTACCATTAGGGTGTTTTATTTTATTTTGTTTTATTTTATTTTGTTTTATTTTATTTTATTTTATTTTATTTTATTTTATTTTATTTTATTTTATTTTATTTTTTTATTAATTATTTATTTTATATATTTATTTATTTGTTTGTTTGTTTGTTTTATTTTGTTTTATTTAGTTCATTCATTCATTCATTCGTTCATTGTTTTATTTTATTTTATTTAGTTTTATTTTATTGTATTTTTTGTATTTATTTTAATGTCTCATGATACTTTAGAATCATCATTCGGATAAGCTGATTTTGTGCTCAATAAATATTTTGCATTATTATTTTCATTGTTTATCACAATTAAAACAGTTATTTTGTTTAAGTTTGAAGACAAAGATATCACATTTTTCATGATTATTTGATTATCTAAAGGTTTAAAAGAACAACAATTACATTATTTATTTATTAATAAATAGTTTTGTAGCAATTTGTATCTCAATACCAAGTTAAAAAAAATGTAATAATTAAAATTAAATAAAAAGTTATCTTTTCCCAGAGATGGGTTGCGGCTGGAAGGGCATTCGCTGCATAAAAAATGTGCTGGGTAAGTTGATGGTTCATTCCGCTGTGGTGACCCCGGATTAATAAAGGGACTTAGCCAAAAAAGAAAAGGAATGAATGAATGAAAAATGTTATATTATAATTATATTTAAGAGAAAAAACATACTTGCTATAAACATGATTATATATTTTTTTAAACTATCACATTTATTTTATCTCATGAATTACAAACCTGCTGAGAAGTGTGATTTGCAATTAGACTTTTTCCATTTGCGTTTGCCATGTGATCTCTTATTAACATCAGAAATGGAGTCATCCACAATCTCTAAGATGGTGTCCGTGTTGTCTTGCAGTTTTGACGCAGACACTGAATCTGAGGTTATGCAGTCCTGCGGGATACACACAACAAAATGTCTTTAAAGGGTCACGAAACACCAAAACACATTTTTAGAGCTGTTGACAGTCGTATATGTGTCCTACACTGCTAAAAACACTATTAGGACACCTATATTTCACTAAAAAGTGTAAATTGGTTGTTTTTGCGTTATTTCAAGCAAATTCGTACTTCCTGTTTGAAACGAATTTTTGAAGCTGCGTCACGGCCATGACATAATAGCGTTGTATTCCAGCGTGCAGACTGGACGTCTGTGCCAGAGTGAGTCTTATTACGTCTTACAGTGTGTTGCATTAATGCATGAGTAAGGCTTGGTTCAAACCAATCAGCGCGCTCTATTGTGCAACTTCATTAATATTCATTAGTGTCATCGTGTTTACGCCACGTTGTGTTGCCAAAACAAGCGTGAAGTGTTGCTTTTATAGTTTGCTGCCATTAAGTTTCGTTTTCATTTTCTCTCTGTGAGAGCTCAGCTGGATCACGTGTGGATTAACAGTGTACGCGACGCTCGACAACAATAACTTACGTGTCTAAGGAGGAACATTGTTTACCTGAGAGCTGTTCTCATCTGCAAACGCTGAAATCCGGATTCGCTTGTAACGTTAGTCTCCTCTTCATAAAGACGCGGCTCTAGTTGCTGGTGATTGTCCTGTCTCTACAGATTTGGTAAGTGAGCGACCAGTGCTCTTTGTTTTTTCAGTTTGTTCGTATCGAATTAAGTTAACTATTGCACTGAGTGCAAACATAGCACCGCATTTTGTGACCGGAATAACACACGCGGCTTTCTGACGCTACCTGCAGTATGCATCTAAGTTTCAGGGAAATGCAGAGTTTTTTTTCTCATTCGCCGTGCGGTATCAAACATTGCATGAAAAATACACGCTTAGAGCAGATCCTCGAATCAAATATCTCGTTTGTCGCGAGGGGCATGAATGAATTCCCTGAATGAAAGAGCCAAACTGCAGTTAAAGTCCAACATTTAATAATTTGGCAAATAATTCGACTACAGATGTCCATGTAGGTTAAACACCATCACTTTCTCATGTGTGTGTATTTTGACTGAAACTCGCGCGCGCCCAAATAGACACTCCCACACCATCCCACTTTAGTTCCTCCGACACTCCCCACTAAACAGAGCTGGACACGCCCACTTTTCTGACTTTTTCCAAAGTAGAGGTGTGAAAACACCCTGCTGAAACGAGGGGGTTTCATGGCCCTTTAAGGTATAGTTCACCTAAAAATTAACATTCTGTCATCACCTTCTCTCTTTTCACTTGTCAAAAACCTGTTTGAGGTTATTTATTTCCTGTTCAACACAAAAGAAGGCATTTTGAAAAATCTTAGAAATCAGTAACCACTGAATTACATATTTGTTTTTTCTATGGGTGTTGTTTCTTACATTATTCAAAATATCTTCTTTTGTGTTCAACAGATAAAAAGAAACTCATGAAAGTTAGGAAACAATTGAGAGTGAATAAATACAGTAATTCAATTTTTTTAAGGGAATTTTTTTAGTAAAGTAGACTAAAATTATTTAAACATAAATCATAAAAATATATGGAGTAAATCTAGGGCCATATATACTTTAAAAAAATACTATAGACAAGGAGGCGGAGTCAACTTGAGCGTTTAGGCAGGCCCTCTGTTGACTAAAAAGCAAATCAAAATAAGCATTGCAATTGACTACAGGGGTTTTGTAAAGGCAGTGCTATGAAAACTTTTTGCAAATATATATAGTCTTTTTTTTAAATTACACATTTTTATTTATTTATTTATTTATTTATTTATTTATTTATTTTGTACTGCTTGCTGATTTGCAATTCTTTTTTTTTTGTTAACAAATTTTTTTATTTCTAAAAAATTTATTTTCTCTTTGCAATTTTTAGAAATTTGCATTTATTTATTTATTTTTTGTTGTTGTTGCTCAAAACTTTCATTTTTGTTTGCAAAACTATTTTATTTTGCATTTATACAGTCCTATATTGACTCCATAATACACCATTTCACCTCTACATTATACCTTATATTCTTTTTTACATGAGCATGAAACTGAATTCCAGGACAGACACGATTCAGATGCACGATTATTCATCAGAAATGCATTGTGGTGCTCTGTAAAAAAGAACCAAAATTATTTTCAATAACACAGGATGAGAACTAAAGGTAAATGATATAAAAGCATACCTTCTACAGAGCAGACATCAGACACTTTGAGTTTATACTGCTCTCCAGACACACTACTGGACTTGGTCTAAAACGAAATCAAGGAAAATCAATAAACACTGCCCTTTACTTATATTGGCATTCTTGGTAAATATATGACCCTGTGGCAGAAAACCAGTCAAAAGTGTCTTCTAATTTTTATTTGAGATTTGTACTTTATCTAAAAATTTAACAGGTTAGGTTGGGTTACATTATTTATACCCGAAGGTAGATTTGGTTTGCAGTTAAGAGTCCCTATTTCATAAAAGTGCCACACAAAAAAAAACTCACATAGTGACAATAACAACTGGACATGAAGACACTCTCTTCCAAATAAATAAAATAAACTATAAAATAAAACAAAAAAAAATAAGGGTGTCACGGTGGCACATTGGGTAGCACGATCACCTCATAGCAAGAAGGTTGCTGGTTATTCGAGCTCCGGCTGGGTCAGTTGGCATTTCTGTGTGGAGTTTGCATGTTCTCCCCGTGTTCACTTGGGTTTCTTCAAGGTGCTCCGATTTCCCTCACAGTCTAAAGACATGCGGTACAGGTGAATTAAATAAACTAAATTGGCTATAGTGTATGAATGCAAGTGTGCATGGGTGTTTCCCAGTGTTGGGTTGCAGCTGAAAGGGTATCTGCTACGTAAAACATATGCTGGATAAGTTGGCGGTTCATTCCGCTGTGGCGATCCCTGATTAATAAAGGGACTAAGCTGAAGGAAAATGAATGAATGAATAAAGAATAAAAATAATAATAATCTCTTAAAGTGTCCACCCCTGTCCCCCAAATAAATGTTTAAAACAATTCATAAAATGTAAAAAATACAGTGTATAAAGTATACATAAGTCAGAAATACCTCTGCTTTAGTCTATGCCTTATTTGAATGTCTAATAGGTATGAGAAAAGATAGAAGTAAAATGTCTTTATTCTTTAACCTTTTGATATTTCGCTCAAAATATTACCAAAAGAAAAACATCTCAGCATCACTGAGAACAAACAACTACAAGCACAAAGTTGTTAAATATATGTGTGAATTTGGGAAGTATGGTAAAATGTATGGTAAAAAAGTATGGTAAAATGTCAAAAAAATTGATAAACATTTCCAAATCACGGCAAAAGAGGACATGTGCTTGTCTTTATCACCAATAGGAGGTTCAAGAAGCCAAAAAAATCCCCAAGAACCACAGCAGGAAGCATTTTTGGGTCATTGATATCAAAAAAAATTATATTTTTTCATTCATTCATTCATTCATTCAGTTGATGCCCTTCCATCTACTGGGAAACATCAATACACAGTCATTCACACTCATACACTACGGCTAATTTAGCTTATGCAAAATCCAGAGGAAACCCACGCGAACATGGGGAGAACATACAAACTCCAGACAGAAATGCCAACTGACCCAGTCAAGACTTGTACCAGAGACCTTCATGCTGTGAGGCGACAGTGCTAACCACTGAACCACCGTGTCAACCTAAATGATTTTTTGTAACTTTTTAAAGCTTCTATAGGCTCTAGTCTTCGACAGGTAGTTGTTGTTTTTTTTGTTAATATTCTGAGCAAGAGATTAAGCAATAAATACATTTTTGTCACCTCCTTCTTGCTCATATTTACCGATGGTACCAATATTATGGAGGAAAGAACAAAAAAGACCTAAATCATACATCACATATACTAATAGTCTAAATGAATGCATCCAGTAGCTCCAATATGTAACTCTGTGGCAGACCGTTTCAGGCAGTCTGGGATTTCTGACCTTGCTGACACGAAACACCAGAGACACCAAACCCCCCGCCGGCATCACAGCCAGAGCACTGCACACGCCTGTTAACATGCTGACCGCCGGAACATCAATGAGTCCTGTCTCTGCAAAACACTGCCCAGTGGTGCACAGTGGAAAACAAAAGATACGATTCAATAAAGTGTAAACGAATCAAACAACATCACACACATGTTGACGCAGTGTTTGTTGACATGTATTGATTTCTGTGTTGAACACCTGTTCTTCCAAAAGATTTATGAGCAGCGTGTTGACACACATGTAGCCCTGCAGGAGCAGCAGACACACACTCAAACGCTGGGTGTGTGTGTGAGAGCTGGAAGATGGACGGCTGTACACGGAAAACCATGGGTGAAAGTCCTCCAGATATTCTGTCAGCTTCAAATATAGAAGCTTTTGCAAACACAAACAAACACACAAAATACAGTTTGTTGAGAAGCTTTAGCAAATACACACACACACTCAACAAAACTTGATTGTTGATCATATATTCAATATATATAGCATTCTAGAATATATTTGAAAAAAAGGATTGGAAAATTAATAAGACTTTAGTTTTATTGCTGCATTTCGTACATTTTTCTTTACATTTTTAAGTAAATGATAATAATACCAATAATAAAGTTGCATTTAATTGGAAAATACAGTAAAACAATTACTGTTATAATAGTAATTGTAAATACTATTACAATTAATATTGTATATTTTAATATATTTTATATTGTAATTTATACCTGTGATATGGGAGAGCAGGGACAAAAGTAGGGACGAAAGTAACAAAAAATTTATTTTCTCAAAGCCCTGAAAACATTTGCTTTCCACTCTATAACAGCACATTCAGCATGCAACTCTTGATGGAGCTGCCAAATATCACCTGATTTCTGGACCGTGTCCCACGTTTAGGTCTGAACTTCAGTTTTAAGTGGAAAAACTAAATGATTGTAGCAGTTATTATCTTTCTCATTATTACAAATTGTGTTTCTCTTTTCATACATCACGGTAATGATCAATCTACATGTTATTTAGTGCAATAACACATCCTTAAGTTTGCATTGTCTAGGTTTTTCAGTTTAAATCTATTTTAAAGGGCAAGGCTTCCTGCAGGGACAAAAGTAACCCTGTTATTTATGTCTCACTCCTAATAGCCGAACCTTATTTTTCACTTCCACATTAGAGTTTTCAGTTTTTCGATTTATATGTTTTATAACATTATTGCATTTTGCATTACATTGTTAAACATTGTAAAAAATTGTAACGCATTGCATTGTCTGATTGCTTTTGAAACATTTGATGGAGCTGAAATTTAAAATGAAAATGCAGTTTAATCTTTTTTTTTTTTTGCACAAAAAAAGGACAAAATATGGTTGTAGTTAACATCAACAGTATACTTAAAATAAACAAGATTGGAAAGTAATTCCCGGTTTTAAAAAATATCCATACACCAGACACTTGAAAATATAACAAAACACAACCCGACAAAAAAAAGGTCATTAAAATCTATTTTTTATTACTTATAATTAGATAAGCTTAATTCAAACACTGACAAACTTAGGAAAGAGTGGAAGAAGGAGCTTAATACAGACATATCAGATAAGTCATGGGAAGATTATCTTTCCAAAATTCATGATTGTTCTATCAACCTGAGACACAAACTGATTCAGTTTAAAGTTATCCACAGACTTCATTTTTCAAAAGTAAAATTACATAAGATTTTTTTTAAATGTATCCTTGTTGTGAAATAAATGTAAACACTTTGAAGGTACATTGACTCACTGATTCTGGTCATACCATAAAATTAGTTCAATTTGGCAGGACGATTTTAATTGTATACCTGAAGTAAATGATTGATCTGTCATCAAAGCCAAAATTTGGCATTTTGGAGACACCTCAGAAATAGGATAAATATATATCACAGACAGTATCTTTGTGTATGATATTAGCAAAGAAAATAGTTGTACAAAATTGGAAGTCAGATTACGTGCCTGTCTTTGAAACCTGGAGTAGGAGCTTAGGTTATGTGTTGCCCATGGAAGAAATGCGATATGGGATGGCAAACAAACTAAACAGATTTTTTAAAATCAGGAACCCAATTATGTTTTATATCAGTAATGCTGACTTGTAACTCTTTATAGGTGGGATTATGTAGAGTTGTAGAGCCTACAGATTTCTTTGTATTATTTATTTTTTATATTTAATTAAAATTTTTCTCACTTATGCTTTCTGGATGATACTGTATTATGTTGTGTCCGACTGTCTGTGTACTGTGAAATGTTCTTTGTACTTTTTTCTTTTTGCTTGTTCTGTGTATGTTATTGTCTATTTTCTCATGCTAAAAACAATAAAAATATATTTTTTTTAAATTAAAATAAACAAGATTAAGCAAGTAAACTTAGCAAATATTGTTGTGCTACTTTTGTCCGTAACAGGGTAAAAAGTATCAGTGCACAATTTATGTTTAAAATGAAATTATTTTGAGGCTGCTCTACATTTGATAGACCCCCCTTATGAGTTAGTACCACAGCACAAATATATTTCTGTCTAAAACATTTTCTTTCAAAAATAGGTTTTTATAAAAGCTTTTGTCCCCGCTCTCCCCTACCAGTTGATTAAAATAACATCTTAACACCAGTTGATTAAAATAACATTAGCAACAGCCATTTTTGTTCTTATACTGTAAATGTTTAACTTGGTTCACCAGCTGCCTTGAAAATGTGAGTCAACTCAACTTATTATTTTTCAACTTAAGATGTTGAGTTTCACAATATGTTATATGTTTAACTAAAACTCAACATCTTAAGTTGAAACAGAGAATCTCTCTAAGTTAAGCTGACTCACATTTTCAAGGCAAGAAGGTTTGGAAGTTTAACAAAGTGAAATGTTTTACAGATGAATGGAGTGACTGCTTTTTCCAACATTCTGCATTCAGAGTTGTTTTGCGTTCAACAGAAGAAAGAAATGTATTTCAGTTTAGAACCATATGAGTAAATTGAGACTGAATTTTCATTATTGGGTGTACTATCCCTTTAGCTGTACATCACCTGTTTAAATGTTAGTCCCCCTTCTGAAGCAACCAGGTTCCTCTCCACTCTTCCATCTCCCTCATCAACTGCAAGCCAACACTGGCCAAGAAAGAACCAGCAGGAGCCCTGCACCAGATCTTTTACCACCACATGGCTTAAATACCAGCTGGGAGATGAACCTCCATTATCATGCCAGAGGTGCACCTTCCACACTTGACCTAGACTCTCTGGAGAGCTGAATAATACAGGATAAATCATGGCATATTAGACAAAGTTACAGTGCTCAGCATATATTTGTACACCCCTCACAAATATCTTTTAAATTAAGATTTTCAATAGGAAGATATACAATATCATATTTGTGCATATAGATTAGATTAGTCAGTACTGAAGCCAAATATGGAGCTTATCTAACAAAATAACTTGCGATAATGGTCCAAAAACTAGTAAACCCAAATTTATATGTTATAAAAAAAAAATCAAATACAAATTTCAAAAATTAGGAAAAATCAAGAGAAGCAAAAAAAAAAATGACATTTGTTTTTAAAATTTTGAAGTTTGTATATTTGTGATATTTAGCTTTAATTGCATTATCTTTCAATTTCTAAATATTATTTTAATACATATATCTGTTTAATAAATCTGCTTTGGTTAAATGCACCAAAATACACTGCCTATATTCACTGAGAAATGAAAACAAATATTCATTTTCAAAATGGTGTGTAATCAATTATGCTGAGCACTGTATATTGGAGCTTTATTTTCTTTCTTCTCTTGAAAACTAAAGAAAATGAAAGATAAAATGTTGGGATGCAGCTCTCATTGACTTCAACAGATTTTTTTGTTCCCTTTATGGATGTCAATGGCTGGTGGTTTCCAAAATTCTTGAGGGTATCTTGTTTTGTGTTCAACAGAAGAAAGAAACTCAAGCAGGTTTGGATTGGAACAATTTGAGATGAACAAATGATGACAGAATTTTCAGTTTTGGGTGAACTGTTCCTTTAAACCAGAGACGTCCAAACTAGGGTCTGCAGGCCAAAGTTGGCCCATTCTAACCTTTGATTTGGCCCACCATCCCATTTGAGAAGAGATGGAGAATGATAGGGTGGTGGTTGGAGTGAATATCTTCATCATTTTTAATTTAATGTAACCTTTTGTTAGTTTTGTAAGCAAAGGCAGGTGGCAGCTTAGTGTATTCACTCCATAGTGTTATTAATGGAATTGTTTATGTTTTTACTGTAATTAATCCATTATACTTTTATTCAAATATACTGCATTAGTTATAAAAATACTCATGGAAACTTTGGTGTAATATAGTTTGGTATATTCACGCTCGGCCTACAGCTCTCAATCAGGATTGGTTTTTGGTCCTTCATAAGAAAACGTTTGGGCAACCCTAAACAGTTTAATTGATGGTTGACTGTAATGTATCAAAACACTAAATGTGCAAAACGAGCTTTTACCTGAGAATAAAAGTATTCCTTGAGTTGTTTGTGAAGAGTCTGGAGTCAGAGCTGCTGACTTCCCTGGTCTGGGAGACACCTTCATCTCCATGCAGGACAATGTAAACCTGACAATAACAAATGCAGAGACAACAGTCTACTGTTACATCTAATGCATGCAACTCACAATTCGAATTAACGTAGCATTCATTAATGATCTCTAATTTCACATTCAATCTCATTGCTTGTCTTTACCTTTGCTGTCATCCTGGTTCTTGATCTAAAGCCTGTGTCAATGGTGACAGCATAGAGAAAGCGGTCTGATGGATTGTTTTCTGGTAGCAAGAACGAGCCGGTAGTTTTCTGTAAGGAAACATCAGCTTTCCTACAGATGACCGACACCATGATATGGAGAGCCAGGAATATTACTGCCAAAATGACTGGGATGTAGTTGGGTTTGGAGCTGCAGGACAGGAGGAGAATATCTGTAAGCATGAGGTAAAAAGCAACCGTTTTCAGATCTGATCAATTTGAAGATGTTGCAGGTGTACTGGATAAACTGTGAAACATCTGCAGAGCTGTAGTTGTTAGTGATGGACTCATGTGATACTGCAAATGATGCCAGGTGGTTGCAACTGAAAAAAAAGAACATGCATATATTTTTCATTTATACTGCTGTTTGTTCAAACTACCTGTTTAAAATGAGCTAAAACAACCCGTCTTGTAATTTCTTTGGCCGATTTATTTGTTTTATGTTCAGTCCACTTAAATTTGTAAACCTTTAAGTTAACTTAAGTGTTTTGTGTTGGGACAACATGAAGGAATCGTGCTGGTCTAACTACCTGGTTAGGGGATTTGTAGTTCCCAGCATGCTTTGTGTGGGGTTAAATTAAGAGGGTAATGTTGTAAATAAAAGATATCTTAGGGGTTTAAAGTTAATAGAAAGACTTGTTAAAGTTTAATCTTCATTTTAGTTTGAAGATTTAGAAGATTTTCATGTAATGCTTTGAGGTTTGAGATTACAGTACCACCTTGCAAAAAAATGATGACTGCAAAATTGTTGCAAACAAGTTATGTGTTGAATTTAAACAAACAAATTAAATTTAGTAATGGTCAACTTAATTTGTTTGTTTAAATTCAGCACAAATATATTGTTTACAAACACTTAAAATAATTTAGTAAATCCAAGAAATCATAAATCTTTTTTCAGTGCATCAATGCTTTGGGTGTTGGCACAGTAATTAGCAAAAAATGCAGATAGTTGCTTTGCTCAGAGAGCAATAAATGTCCTAAAATTAGTTTTGAGATCAGTCTCAATCGACTGTACATGCAACTTGTGAAAAATGGCTCTTTTAGTTAATTAAGGGCAACTTCAAATAAAATGACGAGACTTTGAAATGTACGACACAAAATAGACATACATGAAATTATCAGATCTTTGAGTTTAAGTTAAATAAAAATACAAATGTATTTAAACTTTTGTTTGATAAAAATCATGTTGGACCAACTCAATTGCAGTTAATTGTATAAACCGTTTTTTTAGTTGGTGCTAATCAAATTTATTGGAAGGGAATCCTGCCCTCAGTTAAATTGAGTTCATCCAATGGGTTATTTTTTAATTGCATGAATAGGATCAAGTTTACCTAAAAATTAAAAGCCTGTTGTCATTTACATTTGTTGATCCAAACATATTTAAATGCTTTTCTTCTGTTGAACACAAAAGACAATACAATATTTAGAGGATGTTTTAAAGCAGTAGCTCTTGACTTAAGAAGTATTTTTTCCTACATGCAAAAAAAATACTTTTGCTGTTTGTTCAAACTACTTACTCAACCAAATTGTTAAGTTATTATTATTATTTTTATTTATTTTTTTGGAGGAACATTTAACTGTTTTATTTTTAATCAATGTTCCAAATTTTGTACAAATTATTAAGCTAACTTAATAGATTTGTGTTGGTACAACATGAAGGAATTGTGTGAAACCCTGCAATTCTTCTTCAAAATATCTTCTTTTGTTTTAACATTAAAAAACATACACTACTGAAACCATCGAGAGAGAGAGCAAATGCCAAGTAAACAAAACATTTTGAGTGAACTATGCTTTAATTCATCGTGCAAAACCATACTGTCCTGCAATGGTAGAGTAATTGACATTCAAAACAATATATTAATTCAATTATTACATGCATTAATTATCCATTCAAATAAATTAATATCAAATATACTTGCAAACCTATATGAAGGCATGATTTCATAACGCCACACATTTTTAATACATGAAACTGTTATGTCTAACCACTAGGTGGAGTATTTATTGCACAATCCGATTCCGTACCTGAAGTAAATCTTGTCTGGAGAAACAGCAGCAAGAGGAAAACAACCATCGGGCTTCCACTGTCGCGCACCATCCCAGGACAGGCACTCAACAGACTCAATGCGCACTGTGTAGTTCACAGCTCTGGTGATGTACTTGTTGCTTGGGCTTTTATTGTAGTCTGCTTTGAGAAGCATCAGGTAAACAGTCCCAGTAGCTGGAAATTAACAAAACAATGTTGGTTGTTCGTGATTTGTATATTGTATATGGAAATACATCCAAATACATTACATATTTGTAATCAAATTGGTTAAAAATAAAGAAATGTGCAGAAAATAATATCTATTCAGTTTTTTAAACAAAATCTATTTCAATATTGAATAATATATAAATGCTTAGATGATTTGTGCACAATACAGTGTAATGTCTTTTAGTGGATGTCATATATGAGTATGTTTATCAGCTTCTAATTAAATTTGCATCGTAAAGCTTAAATGAAATTAGTATTTTTAGTTTTTCAGCTCTTATACTCTCAAAATCATTCTGCATAATTAAGCATATTATTATTATTAATTATATAGTATTATATATATTATATAATATTATTATATTATATTATATCATATCATATCATATCATATCATATCATATTATATTATATTATATTATATTATTCTTTCATTTTGGCGAGGCAGTGGCGCAGTAGGTAGTGCTGTCGCCTCACAGCAAGAAGGTCGCTGGGTCGCTGGTTCGAACCTCGGCTCGTTGGCGTTTCTGTGTGGAGTTTGCATGTTCTCCCTGCCTTCGCATGGGTTTCCTCCGGGTGCTCCGGTTTTCCCCACAGTCCAAAGACATGTGGTACAGGTGACTTAGGTAGGCTAAATTGTCCGTAGTGTATGAGTGTGTGTGCGAATGTGTGTGTGGATGTTTCCCAGAGATGGGTTGCAGCTGGAAGGTCATCCGCTGCGTAAAAACCTGCTGGATAAGTTGGCGGTTCATTCCGCTGTGGTGACCCCAGATTAATAAAGGGACTAAGCCAAAAGGAAAATGAATGATATATTATTCATTCATTTTCTTTTCGGCTTAGTACATTTATTAATCTGGGGTCACCACAGCGGAATGAACTGCCAACTTATCCAGAATATGTTTTTACACAGCGGATGCCCTTCCAGCTGCAACCCATCTCTGGGAAACATCCATACACACTCATTTACACTCATACACAACAGACTATGTAGCCAACCCGATTCACCTGTACCGCATGTCTTTGGACTGTGGGGGAAACCGGAGCCCTCAGAGGAAACCCACATGAACGCAGGGAGAACATGCAAACTCCACACAGAAATGCCAACTGACCCAGCCGAGGTTTGAACCAGCGACCTTCTTGCTGTGAGGCAGCAGCACTACCTACTGCGCCACTGTATCACTTATATTATATTATATTATATTATATTATATTATATTATATTATATTATATTATATTATATTATATTATATTATATTATATTATATTATATTATATTAAATATGAAATCGAAAAAATTATATGGGAAATTTTGACAAATTAATATTCAATAATTTATTAATTTTCCGGCTTAGTCGCTTTTTTATCAGGGCTCGCCACAGCAGAATGAACTGCCAACTATTCCAGCATCTGTTTTATGCTGCGGATGCCCTTCCCGCTGCAACCCATTACTACTAAACACCCATACACACTTATTCACACACACTCATACACTACGACCAATTTAGTTCACCCAATTCACTTATGGTGCATGTCTTTGGACTGTGAGGTAAACCGGAGCACCCGAAAAACATGCAAAACCACACAGAAATGTCAACTGGCTCAGCCAGGACTGGAACCAGTGACCTTCTTGCTGTAGGCAACATGCTAACCACTGAGCCACCATGTCGTCCAATACTAGATTAATAATACTTTAAATATTAATGTACATATTACCTAATATAAACATTGTTTGATAGACATACAAATGGATGTACAGACAGACAGACAGACAAATAGACAGGTAGATCAGCTAAAATGTTTCAACAAACCATGTAAATAGGATTGAGGGAGAAAGAAGTGAGCCGTCTTTCCTTTCCAGTGATATATTTTTTGCTTGTTGTACAGATCAGGTGTTGGCTGCTCATACATCCTGTGAACAGAAGTTAAATGAAATACAATGAGACTCAAAAACTATCAGGACTGTTGCTGAAATGTCCTCACCTGAGCAGCAGCAGGATGGGAAAGGGCCGCTCAGCAGGTCTGGTAAAGTGCACAGTGATCTGAAAGGCTCTCTGAAGTGTCTCTGACGTGATGTTGAACTCATGAATGTTCACCTCACTGCGCTCAAGAGTGAAGTCTGTTTGTTTGCTGTGCTGGAACAAAGACGAACACAAACCTTTGCTGAAGACAGTTTATGACAGACTGTTTTGGGATGTTCTTTACTTGCTCATCACCATGCAATGACTTTTCATTGGCTTTAATGTATTTATTTTGATTATCCTTTTAATTTACAGCAATATCTTGTACCTTTTTCTTCAAGTTAAATTAACACAGTTTTTGGAAATAGTTGGAAAAAGGCTCAGTTTACAACTCCCCAAAAATGAAACAGTTGAGTTTTACCATTTTTGAACCCATTCAGCCAAACTCTAATTGTGAAGGGAGCACTTTTAGCTCAGCTTGGCATAGATCATTGATCAGATTAGACCATTAGCATTTAACTCAAAAAATCTAAAAAGGTTTTTGATAATTTCCCTGTTTAAAGTTTGACTGATGTTACATCATGTACTAAGACCAACAGAAAATGAAAAGTTGCCCGGTGTGCAGCTGGAGATTATTTTCAGCTGCTTTATAATCTGATTCCACCTGTGCAGCCATGCTATGACAGCTAAGTTCTTTGATTGTTATGCACATTCCCAAGCCATATTAGCCTAGCTATTGTTATGAGTATTCCCAAGCCATATTAGCCTAGCAGCTTTAATTTTTCCATTAGTCTTAGATCATGATGGAACAACAGAAGAGTCAAGCTTTAAAAGGGAAATTTATAAAAACTCTTTTTTTTCTGAGTAAAATACTAATGGTCTAATCTGATTCAAATATTTATGCCAAGCTAAGCTAAAGATTGGCAAAAAGAGACTGGCAAAGGAGCTTCTTTAAGATAATAGATCAATTCCATTTAGAATGTTTATTCATTCATTCATTCATTTTCTTTTCGTCGTAGTCCCTTTAATAATCTGGGGTCACCACAGCAGAATGAACTGCCAATTTATCAGCCAGCATATATTTTACACAGGGTATGCCCTTCCAGCCACAACCCAACACTGGGAAACACACACACTCATTCACACTCATACACTACAGTCAATTTTAGCATACCCAATTCACCTGTACCGCATGGGAAATCGGAGCACCCAGAAGAAACCCACACAAACACGAGGAGAACATAAAAACTCCACACAGAACGTGCTACCCACTGCGCCACTGCGTCGCCATTTAAGATGTTAAAACAAATATTTTTATTATTTTACTTTAAGACAGATAGTTCATGTTATCCATGAAGATGTCACTTTTTTGGGTTGTTTGGTTTACTGTTTTTGGTTGTTTGTTTGGTTGTTTATAGTTGGTAGTGTATATATGTTGCATATATGAATTTACAATTGGGATGTAAATTTGACTTTGGAAAAGAAAATGGCACATTTTGAAGGGATTAAGTCTAAAATTAAATCAAATGTAAAAGTAAAGTAAACAGCAGGATAATCAAACAGAAGAAAATTGTCACTATTAGAAAGAAGTAAAGAATTTGTACTTTTGTCTCCTCTTTTCTCTGAAATTCAAGTGTAACTGGAGGGGAAAGATGTCGGACTTTGATTTCCTTTCTTGTGGTGCAGTTGTAAAGCCGAATGTCTGCCGTCTCTCCACTGAACTGTAAAATCACATTAAATTACAAAGTAATTTGCTTCACGTGGCAAAGCACATGTATTCTCATATTCAGCCAAGCATTTATTGTGTACCTGCATATCTCTGGAAGAGCGGTATGGGCTCTGACTGTACACTGTGAGCCAGGTAATAACGCAGGGCTTTTGCTGGCTGTTGATTCTCCATTGCTGAAATTGCATCTCCAGAAAGTCAGTGAAGTGGAACGCAGTGAGGCCAAATGTTTTCACCGTAGAATGAGACTCATCGTCTGTCCAAGCCAACAATTCCATGAAAGTGGTGCTCAGATTGTACTGTGAAATGTTGCTGGACATCATGCACTCCTGTGATTAATATGTGATTATAAGGTTAATGTTAAAATTTCCAGGAAAATTGTCTGTTGAACCCACATTTTAAGACTAAAATACTATATTAAAATATTGCAGTGGGTAACATATTGCAGATTTCAACAAACCCAGCGATAACAGATGAGAAATAAACAGTTCACATGAAAGATCATTTGTTGAGGATGAACTGTGACATAATGTAGGGACATTTTTTTATTCAACGATATTGTATCAAGGATGAACGGAGCTTATTTGTGCAAACAATTCACAAAAATAAAGTCATATTTTGACTACTCTTACTCTTGCACAATTTGAACTTTTTACTTAAAATTATGAGAAATGTGAAATATAAACTGCAAATTGTGAGAAGTAAATTCTCACAATAAAATTTAGAGAAAATGTAAACTCAGAATTAGGCTTAATTAAAAAAAAAAAAAAAGCTCTGAATTAATTTGATTATTTATTAACTCTACTTAATAAAAAGATGATGACATTTGATATCAATCTGTTAGAATTAGCCAAGAAATAATAAACAATCACCTAAGATTAATAAATGCTTTTGTAGTTGTCATTACATTGACTTTAGTTAAATCAACTGGTGTCAGCAAATGAAGCTTACTGTACAAACAAGTTAACAAACAAAAGGCCTATAAATCGTCACTGAATTTTCGATGGCCAGATTGGCATGTGAAAATGTGCACATCTGAAAATAAATCACCATTAAGTGCTCAAGCACTTGGTGCTGTGATGGACAATTTAAAATACAACAATATGATGAATATTCCTAAAAGGCACTTAAGTTAAACTACAAGTTTCAATATTTAATAATTATTCAAGTATTTTCAAGAGCAGATTATATCAATATAGTTCATGCTCATTCTCACAATACATTGAATTATTGAATGTCATCATCTGTCTACAGATTTCTGAAAAATGTCTTATTCAATAAGATTTAAACTCAGAATTCTGAAAACTTTAGTGGGAACCCCTTCGCAAACATGTCCAAACTCTTTAGCTTGACTGCTCCTGCAGATTAAGTCCCCACTGCCTACATCCAACTTGGTACTGGATACTAGTTCTGGTCAGCACATTGTAGACCTGTATTTTCTGTATGTAAGATTGCACTAGTGTTTTTTTTTAATTTATTTTTTTTATCATTATTATTTTTTGTTTGTTTGTTTTTTGCTCAGAATACTCTTCAGTCTATTTGCGTATTGTTAGATGTTTATGTTGTTGTTTTGTATATTTTTCTATTGTGTTTTATAATGTATAAATAAACATTAAAGAACAATTCTGAAAGATTTAGATTTGTGAAATGTAAATATTAATTGTGCAACAAAAAGTTGCTACGTGTCTTTCTATTTTTTATTTTAAAATTGTCAAAACTGCAAGATATAAACTCAAAGCTCTGAGAAAGAAAAAAAAACAATCTCAGAATGGAGATGAAAACTTTGAGATTAAGAAACAAACAAATAAAGATTTCTAAAAGGATGTTTGACTTACCAGTATTAAATCAGTGATGGTGTGAAGCGCTTTATTTATGAGTTGGTGTCCTGGTTTTGAGAAGAGAACTGGAGCCTCCAGCACACCAGACAAAAGGGAAACCAGTGCATTAACATGGTCAGTCGGAGGCTCAGATCCATTTAAGACAGTCGAGATCTTATGAACATGCTGGATTATTTGTTTGACATTGTAAAATGTCAGCTAAAAAAGACAGAAAAATTAGCAAATCATAAAAATCAACATAAAAAAAAAATATTTTCAATGAATCAATAATATTCTTTGAGCTATACTCACTTGGCTTGGGATTTTTATCAAGTCAATAAGCCTGTAAATAATTTCGTATGAAATTCCCTAAAGCAAAAATTAGGAAAAATATTTTAAATTATTTTATACATTGATTTGTTTGGAAATCTAAAATAAATGAAATAAAATAGCTTTGATGGCAGCAGTGATGACCTTGTGAGTGGTGGAGAGTTGACAGACTGCTGAAATGAGCTCAGTGCGTGTGAGCGTCAGAAACTCCACAGACGACTCCAGGTCCAGACTCAAGCGGTTCAACACCTTTGTCAAAATAAAGATGTAGTTGATGATGTCTCCATTACTCCCTGTCTTCATCAGACTAGTCAGGTTACCAACTCCATACAGGTACCTGGAAGGAATAAAAATCAACTAAAAAAAACTCTACTCCATCAAATACATATGTTGGACTTAATGTATTGCATAATTCTATACAGTTCTTGATCCGGGTTGAGCTGAGATGATGAGTTTCTCTGAAAGCTGGGAAGAACAGTGACTGTCACAGGACATGGTTTGGTCGCTGATCCAAATTGGTTCTTTATTTCAATATAGACCATAACTGTGTGAACAAAAACAGAGTTCAGAGAATGGGAATAGATGTAAAATAAAGTCATCAAAATGTAAAAGGCAATGTAATGTAATGGTAATACGCACACCTTATGCACACTAGTGTTTTATTTACTTTGAAAACATTTTCACTCAGAATTAGTGTGGTTAGGAAGACCTTCCCCTCATTGACAAAGGTCCAGAGTTTGTCCTAAACATGAGTTCATTTATCTTATTGTGACATCCTAAATAGTAAAAAATAACCAATAAAAACACAATAAAATTGTGAAGCTCTACATTATTATTATTATTATTATTATTATTATTATTATTATTAATAATAATAATAATAATAATAACTTCATTATTATTATTATTAATATTTTCATCATCATCGTTATTATTATTATTTTCATAATTATTATTATTTGTATTATTTTCATTGTTATTATTATTAGTTTCATTATTATTATTTTCATTATTATTATTTTCATTATTATTTTTTTATATAATTTTTTTTTTTTTTTAATTGGCTAAATTCAGACTGGGAAAAATTTTGTGTGCTGACCAGCTGTTATTTGCCTAATAAATGACTCAGTAGGGCACAGTGTCTAATTTAAAACTTTACCAGATTCCTTTTTTTCCGAATAATATATGATATAATAAATTTGTATGTTAAAAATATTGTTTTACATTTCTTTATTCTAAATCTTAAGGAAATATTTTTGGTATATCAAAAAGTGTAGTTATGATGACCATCCGACAAGCTACTTTAGCTAAAAAATAGTGCTTAAAATGTCAATAAAATGCTTTATTTTAGTCTCATAATTAAAAAGAAAATAAGTCGATTAAATGCAAAAAGGTCCACTTTTTGAGAAATTAATTGGCCTGAATTGTCATTTGTAATTGAAGCTTTCAGATAAATAAAGCTTTTGGTGCTCTAAAGGGCGTAGATGTACGCATGTTAAAGGAATGTCAAGGTTTTGACATAAGATCGATTTGCATTTTTGGTTCCTTTTATTTACATCGTTTTGACATTAAGGTTCCTGCTGGAAAAGAAATAGCAACAAACACATTGAAATAAAAATAAAATTATTAAGTAGAAAATTGTCCAGAATTTAACTGTACCTTTGTAATCATGATTCGGATCTCCACTTGGCAAACTAAAGTAGTGTTGAAAATCTCTGCCTTCGTAAAGGAGTTTCCTCTTAGTGTTTCCCACACTGTAACTGTACTCATACAGGAGATCCTGATCACACAATCACAAATATATCCAGGTCAGAACATAATGCATTCAGAGTATATGACTGTTGCATTTCCTGTCGCAACTTCAAATTTAATAGATTCTTTATAATTATAACTAATCAATTAATTAATAAATAATAATAATAATAATAATAATAATAATAATACAATTATTTTACTGTGCTGTCACTTTCAGTTTAACCTACAGAAAAAGCTATCAATTTACCATGCTGCAATGGTTTATCAATAAACTTAATATACAATTTCATGTTTATAAACATTAAAAATCTGTCCTAGAATTTGGTTATACATTTTCTTAAACTGATATAACTTTATAGCTAATTTAACAATCAATACATTTTTTTTTTATTTTAACACCAAATAAAACATTCCACCATTAAAAAATTATGAATGATAAATAGTTCATTAATTGCATCAGGAGAGTGTCAAAACAACGTGTAATTTCCTTATTAAACTCACAGTAATTATTGCAGGTCCAAATGTATCTGAATGCTTTTTGAGGATTAAATACTACACCATTCTTGAAAATGGTAAACAAAACGAATATGCTAAGAGCAGTACAATGCAGACCTCTTTTCCAGTGGAGCAGAAGATGCTGAAATGCGTGTGGATTTCATTGCCGGTGTTGGGCTGCACTTGGCAGTTCATTCCCTCAGGAACAGCTTGTGTGTGGAAGAACAGCTGGCTTTTCCCTCGCAGACGCTGCTCACAACCTGACAAAGAGGACAAAAAAAAGAAGGAGAATTGAAAACACTGGTAGATTTTTGCATTGAAACTCATTATTTGTTCATTTAATTTCTGCACAAATCTTGAATATGAATATAAAAACAAGATGAAAGACTTACTTGCAAACACCTCCAGCAAATACAGACTCTTCGGTTTAAGCATGAAGGGTTTAAAGGTAACATCTGAAGAGGACAATCCTATAGGAAAAAGAAGACAACACAAATTTAAAAATTCATCTGTAAAAACAGAGGTGTAAACTCTGAATACTTGCATATACCTGACAGCGTGTAAGACTCAAACACGTTTGGATGAATGAGCTGTTTGTCCAGATCCAGAAGGGTCTTCTCAGAAACCACCAGCAGGTTTGGATCCACCAGATTGTCACCCTCATTGTCATAAGAGTCAGGGTATGATCCTTCATTCCAGCTAAATCCAACTGAATCGCTCCCTTAAGTAACAATTGTTTTTACAATATATATATATATATATATATATATATATATATATATATATATATATATATAAAACATATTTTAAAAACTAGCAGTCAGGTCATTATTTTAGTTTTTTAATGAAATCATAAAAATGTGTACCTGTAGGCCTGCCGACTGTGATACCTGGGTCAGCCTCTTCAATTCCAAAATTATAGTAATCATACTCTAAACACAACCAAAAATCTCACATGAGGGTCTGTTATATCATTCTGTATAGTCTGCAAAGATAGAATTCTAGAGGTTTGTTAACTTGAGAATAAAATACCTGGATCGGAGATATGATCACCTGATAATGACTCATAATTATCTGTGTAAAGCAAATCTGAAAATGTGGAAACACATTTAGTGTTTAATTATTTGTTATTTTTAAAATAATAATAATAATAATAAGAAGAAGAAGAAGAAGAAGAAGAAGAAGAAGAAGAAGAAGAAGAAGAAAAAGAAGAAGAAGAAGAAGAAGAAAAAGAAGAAGAAAGTCATGTACATATACCTACTTTATTTACTTTAATATTGTTTTATGTTTTTTGCTTCATTAGTACCAGTCTTTAAGCAGTAAGAATACACATAAATCATGTCCAAATAATAATAATGATAATGTTTAAAAAAGTAAAAGTCAAATGAAAGCAGAATATGCAAATATAAATATAAAAACTAACAAATTTAATAGACAAAAACAACACTAGATATCATGCTGACCATGCTGTGGTCATTATAATGTATTATTACTGGCATTATTAACATTAATGTTTGAATGGCACAAAGCTCTGATCGACATATCGTACATACACTCTCAGAAAGAGGTATACGGTGGTACAAATAATGTTCCTTGAGGAACAGTTTTGTACCTTTGTAACAGTTGCACCTTTTATGGTACAGAGAAGACCTCTTATGATACTGTTCTGTACCTTTTATGGTACAACTGAAATTAAGATACATAGTTGTCCTCATATAAAATATACATAAGTGTTGGACAACTTTATATGAAAATAAATAGGACTGGAAAGGTGATTTTCTTTATTAATACAATTATCATTTAAAAACATATGTTAAAAGAAACTCATAAACATGAATTATTAAGTTTTAGAATACAATATTAGGAAGCAACTGGTAAAACATAAAACTATAGATATTGTAAACTAAAATAAAACTATAGTTATGTAAACTATAGGTATTGTAAATTAAACACTTAAGGTATTTATAAAACTATAGGTATTGTAAATTAAACACTTAAGGTATTTATAAAACTATAGGTATTGTAAACTAAACACTTAAGGTATTTATAAAACTATAGGTATTGTAAACTAAACATTTAAGGTATTTATACAACTATAGGTATTGTAAATTAAACACTTAAGGTATTTATAAAACTATAGGTATTGTAAACTAAACACTTAAGGTATTTATAAAACTATAGGTATTGTAAACTAAACACTTAAGGTATTTATACAACTATAGGTATTGTAAACTAAACACTTAAGGTATTTATAAAACTATAGGCATTGTAAATTAAACATTTAAGGTATTTATACAACTATAGGTATTGTAAATTAAACACTTAAGGTATTTATAAAACTATAGGTATTGTAAATTAAACACTTAAGGTATTTATAAAACTATAGGTATTGTAAATTAAACACTTAAGGTTTTTATAAAACTATAGGTATTGTAAACTAAACACTTAAGGTATTTATAAAACTATAGGTATTGTAAACTAAACATTTAAGGTATTTATACAACTATAGGTATTGTAAATTAAACACTTAAGGTATTTATAAAACTATAGGTATTGTAAATTTAACACTTAAGGTATTTATAAAACTATAGGTATTGTAAACTAAACACTTAAGGTATTTATACAACTATAGGTATTGTAAACTAAACACTTAAGGTATTTATAAAACTATAGGTATTGTAAACTAAACACTTAAGGTATTTATAAAACTATAGGTATTGTAAACTAAACATTTAAGGTATTTATACAACTATTGGTATTGTAAATTAAACACTTAAGGTATTTATAAAACTAGGTATTGTAAACTAAACACTTAAGGTATTTATAAAACTATAGGTATTGTAAACTAAACACTTAAGGTATTTATAAAACTATAGGTATTGTAAACTAAACACTTAAGGTATTTATAAAACTATAGGTATTGTAAACTAAACACTTAAGGTATTTATAAAACTATAGGTATTGTAAACTAAACACTTAAGGTATTTATAAAACTATAGGTATTGTAAACTAAACATTTAAGGTATTTTAAATAATTGTTTAATAATTGTTAATAATTGTTGAATTGTGAAATAAGTGTTTGATAAGCATGTTAAACACTGTTAAGGTACAAAGTGTCTTGTTACTGTAGTGCTACTTTTATGGATCAGATTTGTATCTTTGATGAAGGAACAATATTGTATCTGCAGGTTTTAAAAAACCTATGGTACATTTTGGTGTACAATGGTAAAAAAGGTACTTATTGTACAAACTGCAATGGTACAAATTTGTTTCTTTGTCTTAAGGCACAATTCTGTCCCATACAAAGATACTGCCCCTGTGACAAGGGTTTGTACCTTCTTTGGTAAAACATTGTACCATTTTTTCTGAGAGTGTACACAACTAAATACATAAATATTTGTTTTGTTTTTCTCCGATTTTATTATTAGAAGAGCTCTTTTTTATTGTGAAAGCCCTAGTTACACCCGGATTAGGTAAAGCAATTGACCACCAGGGGGCGTCTAATCTCGTTTTGTCATAACGGGTCGTGATAAAGTGCTGTACAAAGCTAGCAGAATATTGCAATAATTAATGCATAAAAACAAACACTTTGCTATATGGTACACAAATTAAAACTGAAAACTTTGTCATAATTTACTCACCACTTGTCACCAGTTTATTGTTTCTGTTGAACACAATGGAAGTTATTTTTGTTGATAAATGCTGGAAACCGGTAAGCATTGATTTCCATAGTATTTGTTTTTCCTACTAAGGAAGTCAATGATTACTGGTTTCTAACATTCTTCAAAATAGAGTTTTTTGTGTGTAAGAGTAAATAGTGAGTAAACTTCAGTTTTTGGTGAATTCTCCCTTTGATAATTAACACTTTTTATTGACTAATCACATGATTCTGACTGAGTGGTTACTTTTACCTGATATTAAATCTGTCATTGACACTCTATCGGAGCCAGATAAAGACTCCCGGTGACCCCCAGACGACTCTGTTTCCCCAGGGAAGGATGGGAGGATGCCTGGTAAATGCATGACAGCTGGAAACACTGCATGGTGGTTTGTGTTTGAGTTGGGACTGTGAACGTCATGGTGTTTCACTGAAGTCAGAGAATCTAGTGTAACTGGGGCTGTGAGGTCAATGTGATCAGATAAAAGATAAGGAGCCAGAGATCCAGGAATAGAGCTCTCAGTCAGAAGTGCTGGAGTGTTGGGTGTCACTGCAGGCCTGGAGAAATGTAAGCTCTCCTCCATTTTGGAGGGTAAACCGAGATCCATAGTGCTGCAGAACGGAACTGAGAAAGAGAAAGTTGATATCAGTTTGATCACAAAACACAATGTCAACAGTCTTACATCTGAGGTGTTTTTATGACAGTGCCCAGCATAAATGAGAGCACACCCTTTGAAAATTAAGACTTTGATAAATTTTTTAAGTAAAATGAATGATACATATTGCTGAATTTTATTTATATTTGAGAGAATATAAAATTACCTCACTATTTACTCACAGTGTTTCATTTAGAACGTATTATTTTTAATGAAGAGAATTTAGTTCTTTTTTAAGCTGGCCAACTTACCTTCTGCAGCAGCTCTGCTGGAGGCATTAACCAGGTAAAGTTTCCAGCGGTAAGTTACATTTTTTGTGTTGCAATCAGAATCCTCACAGAAAGCAGAGACAGTAAATGGTGCATTCCAGTTCACTGAATGTTCCTGGCAATCTTTACAAGACATATGAACGTTGCTGTTGAGAAAAAGAAAATATATATAAATAAGAACATATAAACACAAATTATTACAGCTAGCTTCAGAGAAATAGTTTTACTTTTAATTCATTTTGTTTTAAACTAAATCTACAAACACCATTTTATAAAACAATATAAAGACAGCAAAAAAGAAGTGAATGACAAAAATCAGAAGTAAAAATAAAAAATAAAAAAAACCTGCGACACATCTATCTGCAAATCTGGAATCTAAGGGTTCAAATCAATTTAACATTGAAAAATTCAGTCTGAATCAGGGCAATGAAGGGCAAAAAGCCAAACTTGTTTGAAGCTAGTGGGTCGAAGGGTTATTTTCCTAATTTATTTAATAATGTTTAAAAATGAATAGAAAGCACTGCTTTATATAAACGAATGCAGTAATATAATGAACATATTACAGTATTCATTGCCTTGATTTGCTTGCCGGTGTCTTCTTCATATTCCTCTATCTGTTGATTGACAGTATTTACATTTTCAAAGATTTTACTGAATCATTTTATTTCAGTTTGCTTTGTTTTGTAGCTCAGCAATAAAACAAACAAAAAAGGATATGTCAAATTAGAAAATGATGATCTGTGTTAAAGACATTCACCCCAACCCTCTAGATCATACTCACCCTCCTCTCAGATGAAATGGTGGGCCAAATCAAAGGTTACAATGGGCCAACTTTGGCCGACGGGCCCTACTTTGGACATCTTTGGTTTAATACAGTACTTAATAATGCATATTACTAATCACAAATTAAGTTTTGATATTACTATATCAAATATTATTTGAATTGGAAATTTACAAAATATCTGCTCAGAATCTGATCTTTACTTATTATTCTAAAGATTTTTGGCATAAAAGAAAAGTCAATAAAGTCTTAAAGTCTTAAAGTTTTAATTGTTTTAAATCGTTTAAAGGTCAACATTTTTAGCCCCTCTAAGTTATATAAAGTTACAGAACAAGCCATCTTTATATAACAACTTGCCTAATCACCTTAAACTGCCTAGTTAACCTAATTAACCTAGTTAAGCCTTTAAATGTCATTTTATGCTGTATAGAAGTGTCTTGAAAAGTCAAATATCTAGTCAAATGTTATTTACTGTCATCACGGCAAAGATAAAATAAATCAGTTATTAGAGATGAGTTATTAAAACTATTTTGTTTTTGAAATGTGTTAAAAAAAATCTGTCTGTTAGACAGAAATTGGGAAAAAATAAACATGGGGGCTAATAATTCAGGGGGGGTTAATGATTGTGACTTTAACTGTACATGCACTTGAAGTAAAAAAAAATTTTGCCATCCAGTGATTTTTTTGTTTTTCAAATATTTCACAAAAGATGCTTAACAGAGCAAGCAAATTTTGTAATATTTATTTCTTCTGGAGAAAGTCTTACTTGATTTGTTTCGACTAGAATAAAAGCATTTTTTAATAAAAAAAATTTATTATTATTAGTCATTATTATTAGCCCCCTTAGGCTATATATTTTTTGATTGTCTACAGAACTAATCACTGCTATACAATGATTTGCCAAATTACACTAACTTGCCTAATCAGCCTAAGCCTTTAAATAGTACTTTATGCGGAATACAAATATCTTGAAAAATATCTAGTAAAATATTATATAGTGTCACCATGGCAAAGACTAAAGAAATCAGTTAATAAAAATTACATATATTTAAACTATTACGTTTGGAAATGTGATTTAAAAAAAACTTTCCGTAAAATCCAATGTATTTTATTTGACACAGTTCAAACCCACCTGATATGTTTTGATATTACAGTGATGAACATCTCTGATGAGGATGATCGATTGCCACTGTATACGGTCAGAGTGAACTTAAGCAGGTCAAACTCAGGTTTCAAGGCAAGAGCTGGAAATGTAAGCAGTGCTGCAGTGCTCATGATGTTCCTGGTAAAACAGCCGCTCTTCTGTGTGTTTACTGGCCTGCAGGACCAGCTATAACTACAACAAACAAGATTGAGCACCTCATTGCGATGTAATTAAACAAAAAAACAACTGAATGTAATCAATAAACACTGTCACAAACCTCAGAGTATTATTGGGGTAATCAGGGTCATGTGATTTCCGTCCGTCAAGAGTGACGTTAACGCCAATCCGATGATTGATGAAAATATTTGTGGCTCCGCTGATGATACTGACAGGATGACTGTGCTCCACTTCTACTAAAACACTGTAGTTGCTGTAAACCACATTTCCGGATACCTGGACCTTTGTGGTCAAAACAACTCATTAGTATTTTTCTCAGTCAAATAAAATGCATTTAATAAAATCTAGAGCTCTTTGGCTGGAAAATATAAAAGCTGGCAATTATGTTAAGCAGCAAAATATTTGTATGGCATATATTTCAATGTCTTTATTAATCAGAGAATACTGTAAAAAAAATCACAGGTTTCATAAAAAATATTAAGCAGTGTAATTTTTATAGTAATACTAATAATAAGAAGAATGATAGTAAATTCTCAGCTTTGCCATCTTAAGAATTTTTTTAAATTCTAACTATATTTGACACTAATATAAGGATTTAAATTAAATATTTGGAGATTGTACATACATTTTTCTAAATACTTTATTTATATTATTTAAAATTTATTTAACTTAAATTTAATTTATATTTGGTCATTTATTTTCTTTTCGGCTCAGTCCCTTTATTAATCGGGTGTCGCCACAGCAGAACGAACCGTTAACTTATCTAGCATATGTTTTACACAACGGATGCCCTTCCAGCTGCAACCCAACACTAGGAAACACCCATACACTCCATACATTCACACACATACAGCCAATTTAGTTTATTCAATTCACCTATAGTACATATCTTTGGACTGTGGGGCAAATTGGAGCACCCGGAGGAAACCCATGTGAACATGGGGAGAACAAGCAAACTCTACACAGAAATGCCAACTGACCCAGCCAGTGCTTGAATCAGCGACCTTCTTGTTGTTAGGCGATCGTGCTACCCACTGCGCCACCGTGATGCCCTTTTAATTTATATTAATACATTTAATTAATAAAGGACCACACACACACGTTTCAAACTTGTTCTGTCTACAAAAATCCAAGACAAAAAATAAGCATCAAAAATATTATTTTCACTATTATTAGTATTTTTTGTTCTATTTTGATTTGACAACTTTCATGACAAGTAATGCCTAGATCATGGATGCTCAAACGTTTTCGTATGAAGGGCTGAAAACCAAATACCATTAATCACTGTGGGTCGAAGATAAATATACCTAACTTTTTCTATTAAATTTGCCATGAGTAATTTCTTAATTTATTTCATAATATTTAAAAATAAATAGAAAACATCACTTTGAATCATATTAACTAAAGCAGTATCACTTTTGTAATCATAACTTATTGCAATACAGTCATAAACAATCACATTTAGAGTTCAATGCTGAATAAACTAGTCAAGCAGAATCTGCCTTTGCCTCTATCCTTCAGGTGAGAGCCTGTTTCGTAAATTAAATCTGATTAAATGACACCTTTTGAATTGAAACATTTCTTTTAGCTTTTTGTAGCTTAACAATACAACAAACAAATAAAAGGCTAAATTAAATTTGAAATGACAATCTTTAAACCATCCCTATCATTCTTCCTCTAGATGGGATGGCGGGACAAATCAACGGTTACCATGGGCTAACTTTGGCCTGCGGGCCCTAGTTTGGGCATCTCTGGCCTATTGATGTTTTGATTGTTAAGAACATACAAACAGAAAACCACTGTAATATTTTTTCATCATGATTAAAATGAGATAAACAATTGATAGAAAACTGCACATGATCAATTACATTAATGTATAAAACATTCACAGTTTTTAAAAAATAATAAGAAATTGCTTAATATTAGCATTGTATGTATATTTTATAATTTGCAAAACATATTCATTCATTCATTTTCCTTCGGCTTAGTCCCTTTATTTATCAGGAGTCACCACAGGGGAATGAACTTATCCAACATATATTTTACACAGTGGATGCCCTTCCAGATGCAACCGAGTACTGATAAACACCCATACACACTCATTCACACACATACACTACAGCCAATTTAGTTTATTCACATCACCTATAGCGCATGTCTTTTGACTGTGGAAGAAAGCAGAGCAGCCAAAGGAAACCCACGCGAACTGGATCAGCCGATACTCAAATCAGCGATCTTCTTGCTATAAGGCGACAGTGCTAACCACTGAGCCACTTTGTCGCCCTTGCAAAACATCCTTAGCACATAATTTAAGTCAAGTGAAAGAAGGCCCTTACCTTTGCTATGGCTTTATATGTTCCATAATGAAGAAGGTATTTTGGAAGATCAATATACTGCCGTCCAGTGTCTATGTGCGGGAGGAGCAGTTTTTGACCACTCATGTCATATATAGTCCATCTATACAGCAGACCTTTGGACACATTACATTCAATCTGGGTCTCAAATGTCACGGCAAGACGGACATGTTGAGAACGCCATACCTGAAAGAAAGAAAGAAAGAAAGAAAGAAAGAAAGAAAGAAAGAAAGAAAGAAAGAAAGAAAGAAAGAAAGAAAGAAAGAAAGAAAGAAAGTTCAGTCATTTTTTTTTCTCTGCTGTATTCATCGGAGGTCACCACAGCAGAATGAACTTATCTAGCATATGTTTTACACAGCGCATGCCCTTCCAACTGCAACCCAGTAATGAGTAATACCCAAACACACTCATTCACACACATGCAATATGGCCAATTTTGTTTATTCAATTCATCTGTACTACATGTCCTTGGACTGTGGGGCAAACCGGAGCACCCAAAGGAAACGCACGTCAATACAGGGAGAGCATGCAAACTCCATACAGAAATGCAAACTGACCCAGCCAAGGCTCAAACCAGTGATCTTCTTGCTGTAAGGCAACAGTGCTAACCACTGCGCCACTGTGTCACCAGAAAGAAATAACAATACTTGAATTAAAAAAGAAATCAAATGTTCCTTTAACAAAATAATACAAACATTAAAAAAACAAATCCAAAATTCAGGGATTCATGTTAATGTTTTTGGTCAGAAAACTGCACAGTTTATTTGTTATTTGTACAAAACTTTGTGCAATGCTTTTAGTGCAAATTTATTTTAGAACAGTTTTAGTTCATTTTTTAACAAAACCATAATTCTAATAACCATGGTAAGTATGATCACTATAATTGCATTATGAAAATGTCATACCATTGCATTTCTAGACAGACATACAGACAGACAAACAGACAGACAGACAGACAGACAGACAGACAGACAGACAGACAGACAGAGACAGACTGACAGACCTGTATTTTGTGTGGGCCCATATTTTTCACTGGCGGAGGCTGACATAATTCTTCAACAACAAAGATGTGTCCTGTTAAAGAGGCTGAGCTCACCAGGTTGGACATGATAACTTCTATTATATACTCTCCAGTGCTATGAAAAAAAAACAATGCACAAAAAAAAAATTAAAGTAGCAAAACTATCAAACAGTACCATAGCAATAAAACATTAGAACATTTGTATTTTGTTTAAACATAAGTCACTTCTGCATTTATGTACTTATGTACTTTTTTTTTATTTTTTTAAAAATTATCAAATCAGACTATTACACCAACCTATTAAATATCATTTCAAAATTAAAATAACTCTTTTCTATGTAAATATATATTTAAAGTGTTCTTATTCCTGTGAGTCAAACTGGATATTTATGCAGTCTCTAGTGTCACGTGCCCCTACAAAAGGATTCTAAAATGTTGCTTTACTGCTCCATTACGATCAATTATTACTGACCCTAAAAAAATGGAAATAAAGTAATGATCGATTTTTAGCAAAGGAATATTAGCTAATGGAGGATGATGATAATGATGTTGAATGATGATCAACATAACCAGTCATTTTTTTTTAAATGGTAGGAGAGATAGAACTGTTTTGCACACTGAGGACGTTATTATTAATGTAACATTTTTCTGCATATTTTTGTGGAAACTAACACATTTATTTTATATGATTTAGCATTAATAAAAAAAATAATAATTTACTTTTCCTTTATCTGTTACAAAACCTGTTTGAGTTTCTTCTGTTCAACACAAAAGAAGATATTTTGAAGAATGCTGTAAACCTGTAGCCATTGACTTTTGTATTATTTATTTTTCCCTATAATGTATGTCAATGGTTACAGATTTCTTCAAAATATTATGTTTGTGTTCAACAGAAGAAAGATACTCAAAAAGGTTTGAAACCACATGAGGGAGAGTAAACAGTGAGAACATTTTCATTTTGAGGTGAACTATCTTGTCATTTAGCCTTTATTCAATTAAACATTGGTGAGCAAGAAAAACTCCTTGATAAACAATATTATTAATCATTACTAAATATTTCTAAATATTTTAAGAACCCTTTATTATGACATTGCTACCTGTAAAATACATGATGCTCAGTGCTTGATCCATTTCGCTCTGTTCCTTCTCCAAAATTCCAGACATACGAGACATCTGTTCCCGAGCTCATGCGGCAGGTGAATTTGACAGAGCTGTTGGACAAAACTGAAGGACTGTACAAGAGTCTGTTGGGCTGCACAGATCTCTGAATCACCACAGCATAAACATCTGACCTGATGGACGTAACACCGTCAGATACTCTGACCGTCACATTGTATCTGTAAAATAAAGAATTATAATCTAAATCATGTCAGTAAAGACAAACTCTATTTTAGCAAATCTTTCTATGATTTTTAAGTATTTGAGCTAAAGTTGGCATGAAATTCCAGCCTGACTGTGTAGGAAATTTCTCTTCTTATTTTAATATGTATGTAGTATGGCTTGTTATAAATGATGTGTCTATGAACTTTTGTAAACAATTAATTACCCTAATAATCTTGAATCATATACCTTCTCTCCTCTACGGTGGCCAAGAGAGCCTAACGTGCAGCAAAACACATGCAATTACAAAAAACACCAACAAATTAAGAAAAGATCCTCATCCATTTGACAGCACAGGCTAAAAAATCCTCACAACGCAAACACATTTTTAAAAAACACGCTGCATTTTTCCACAACACAAACCATTTTTGTAAACACATCGGAACACAATGAAAATGTTTCAAGGGGACCCAAGAATTTGACGGACGCTGCTGTGCCATGACTATTGCTCAGTGAAGTTGTAGGTGATCTTTGAAAGGTGAGTTTTTTGTGCTTATTTTACTATCCTGATTCACTTGTCTTTTGTATTTTATTAGCCTAAATAACCATAACATAAAAAGCCTGTTCTGTCACATTTTAGGGTCTCCTTAAAATATTCTCACTGTGTTCCGTGCTATTTGAAAGTGTTGTGAGAAAATGCAGCATGTTTTTGTAAATTGTATGCGCTGTGAGAAAGTGTGCATTTTTGAAAAATGTGTTTACGTTGTGACAATTTGCAGCATGTGTGCTGTCAAATGGATGAAGATCTTTTCTTAATTTGCTGGCATTTTTTGTAATTGCATGTGTTTTCTTAAACTGCAGCACGTTAAGCTAACTCAACCACCATACTCCTTTCTCGAAATGACTTTTCCTCACCTCTGGTCACATAGAAAAACTCGTCTTTCTACAGTCCAATTGGCTACCAAAGGACAAAATCATGCACCACCCTACTTTTTTCTCTGATTTCAGGACCATGTAAATTTGTTTTACATCACAATATGGGCAATGGACAATATAGACAACCTTAACTTTCATGTCCACTTTAAAGCTATTTAGTTTGTCCATGGTTGAAAAAGTTAAAGTCACCATGAAACTGAAGTTAATATTGTCATTTTTTCCTCTGTCATGACATTCATCCTCTTGAAGCTGTCCTGAATTTAGAAAAAAAAAAGTGGGGTGTTTCATAATTTCATCCTTTGGTAACCGGCTGGATTGTAGGAAGACAAGTGTTAAGCAGAAATGAGACATGCAGTAACATCCCTCTCAAAAAACTATCCATGTGATCAGAAGGGAAGACATGTTGTTTCAAGGGGGCAGGGAAGGTTGTGATTTTTGAGTAAAGATTTTGAGGGCAAATCAATTTGCAGAAAGTGCATAGATACATTGTTAATAACAAGCACTACTATATGCAGTTGAAGTCAGAATTATTAGCCCCCTATTTTCTTAACACATTTCTAAACATAATAGTTTTAATAACTCATCTCTAATAACTGATTTATTTTATCTTTGCTATGATGACAGTAAATAATATTTGACTGGATATTTTTCAAGACACTTCTATACAGTGACATTTAAAGCCTTAACTAGGCTTATAAGGTTAACTAAGCAGGTTAGGGTAATTAGGCAAATTATTGTATAATGATGGTTTGTTCTGTTGACTATCGGGGGAAAATAGCTTGAAGGGGCTAATAATTTTGACCATAAAATGGTGTTTAAAAAATTAAAAAACTGCTTTTCTTCTAGCCGAAATAAAACAAATAAGAGTTTATCCAGAAAAATAACATTATAACGTATTATCAGACATACTGTAAAAATGTCATTGCTCTGTTAAACTGGGAAATATTTAAAAAAACAATTAAAAAATCAAAGGGGGGGGGGCTAATAATTCTGACTTCAACTATAAATATAAAAATAGGAGTATATTTAGATTTCAGTGACTTTAAAAAAACAGTACTTGTCTGGGAGCCGATATCTCTTTTTGAAGATCCTTGATGTAGTTTTTATTTCCGGTCCATCCCCAAATCTCCAGAAAAAATACAGAGGATCAAGTCCCTCTGCTACAGCCATAAATTTGATGTCAGTCTGTGTTGCATATGCCTGTTTATCAGAATAAATCCAAACAGCTGGAAAACACATGTATAGCAGAAAAGTATGAATACATTGAGAGCTTTGTCTAGCTAAGTATTTTTTCTGGATAAAGGAACCTGCTCACACCTCGCTTGTATTTGTCTATGGGTGTCACTGAGGCTTTATCCTGCTGTTTGCCCACTGTATGTGTGGGCAGAGGGGCACAGAATGGGACATCCTGATCTTTCTTGGACAACATGAGATTCAAGTACTCAGTCTCAGAGGAACAAGCTCTGATCTGCCAGTTGGTAGAATGAGAGTAAATACTGTTTATCAAAGTCACGTCTGAAAATAAAAAGACATGTCGTAGTCACAAAAGCAAATGTTTTAGTCTTTCCAGAAAGTTGCAGAAACCCAGGATTGTGTAAAATGTGTACCTTTGGTGACATTTTTGCAAAACGTGAATGATGCATTGCTTCTAGCACATTATGCTGCAGTTTGTCCACTTAGTTTAGCTTAAAAGCATGTTAAAGCGATAGTTCACCAAAATATTTAAATTATATCATCCTTTATTCACCCCTTACTTGTTTCAAACCTTTATAAGTTTCTTTTCCTCTCTTGAACACAAAAGAAGATAATTTGAAAAATGTTGTAAATATTGTTTTTTCCCACTGTGGAAAACAGCTGTAACAAATTTTCGCTTTCTTCCAAATATTTCCTTTTGTGGTTAACAACAACAACAACAACAACAAAAAAAAAGGAAAATCATCAAGGTTTGGAACCACTTGAGGGAGAGTAAACAATGAGTAACTTGTAATTTTTGGGTGAACTATCCATTTACTTTTTAACAACAAACCAACAACCATGGCAGCATTGTCTTACCTTGATACATGCAAATATTCCTCAAGAAAATAATCCATAGTTTTACTAATAAAACCAATAAACATGGTTATTGTAGTTATGTCACGGCAACCACAAACTTTAAGTAGTATTTGTATAAAAGCATGGGTATTTTATAGCTATTACACATTAAACCATGGTTAATCTTCCTATGGGATGACAGCAGTTTCTAAATCAAATGATAGAGGGTACAGCTTGATCTAATCCAGCTCTACGGCTGTGGATGTAATGGGTGGAGTTATGGTTACTAATAGGATGTCCTCCACCATTTGCTTTGCAGCATATGTACTATGTTGAAAAAGCCATACATATTTAGATATGCAACTGTTCAAAATGTATGCTTTCAAATCATACACAATGCTAAATTATTTTGAGGTTAAAATTAAATGACAATCTGCCTTGCAATCATAATATATGTTGCTTTACTGGGTTAATTTCAAATGAAAGCTGCAGAGAAAGGTTTTTGTAGGTATGTTTTTAGAGTCAGCATTCAGCACATTACACTGTAAAAATTTTTTTTTTTCAGAGCAGTTTTCCATATATTGTGATTCATGATTTTTGTTGTTGTTTATGCTTTTTAATTGAATTATGGGAAAAGTTTTATTGACATTTTTTATATTTTGAATGATATAATGTATGGATTAATGTCTTAAATTACAGTACAGAAATCTGAGGATAAACTGCCAGTTTCTTTTTGGTATTTTATTAACTTACTTTGATACATATTATTTCTTATAAAATACATTGTTTCAAATTACTAAAATGTTAATCAAAGTCACTTTGTTAAACTTCCAAGTTGACAAAGCAGAAATCAAGGTCCCAAAATGCAATTCATAACCTTGAGTAAACAAAAACATACCTAGATCATGAAATGCAGAAACCGTTAAACTATAACATTTTTATAGTGTATATCTTGCACAATTTTGGTAGATACACATTTTCCCAATGAGACTGGGTAGAACTGTAGCTAGTAAACATACTTAAATGGTACAATCCAGCAGCCGGTAATATTGCATCTATGTAGCAGGTGAAGTATCCGTTGATCATAACAGATACATTTTGAAGGCCATTGGGACCAGAGTTTCCAGTGAATGTAATGAAAACCATAGAGATGTTTTCTTTGCTCAGATTAGGTATACCTGGAAACACACGAGAAACGTGAAAGGGATTACATTGTTTTGATTAAATTATTTTTGGAGAAACTAATATTGTAGCTTTCAAAGGGGTAGCTCATTCAAAATTACACTTTTTTGTCATTAAAATTCACCTTTTTGTCAGATTTTGTCCAATTGTTCAAGTTTCTGTCTTTTGTGTGAGTCAAATAAAAATATTTTAAGAATGTTGGAAACAGGTAACCATTGACCTGCATAGTATTTTTCCTACTATGGATGTCAGTCCAGAGTAGATTTTTATTTTGGGTGTACTACCCCTTTAAGAGATGTACAATTTAATTTACACATAATTGAAGGCACAATTGAATTAGCCAGCTGAAAGGTTGCTATAGAAAGCCTAACAAAAACCTGAGACTTCCAGGAGGAGGGGCTTTCCAATTTGCACCCTGTCAATCAAAGCAGCTACAGTGGCATTATGAACAGAAGGCCCTCTGCTGCTTTGCAATGCCAACCTGCCCATCTCATTCCCAGTAAAGACAAACTCAGAGGAGAAGCATCTGCAGGCAAATAAAAAGACATGATTATCAGGTCTAAAGGGATATGGTTTGCCCAAAAATGAACATTTACTCACTCTCCACTTGTCAAACCTGTTTCATTTTTTTTCTATTGAACACATGAGAAGATGTTTTTTTTTAAATGTTGGAAACCTGTAACTGTTGACTTTCATAGTATTTGTTTTCCAATTATGATAACATGTTTCTAACACTTTTCAAAATTTAGCCTATTCTCCTGTGTTTGGAACCACTTCAGAGAGAGTAAATAATGAGTACATTTTCATTTTTGGGTGAACTCCCTTTAAATACTTAAACACAATATACCTGTATTTCTGCAATCAACTATGTCATGTATGCTTAATAGGAAAGTTTTTAATTTAATTACTTTTTTTCTCCTTATTTTTTTAACCTCCTGCATGCTGTTTTCTGTTCAACACAAAAGAAGAATCTTTAAAACATGGTAGCTGTTGACTTCCAAAGCATTTTAATGACACCAAAAGAAAGTAAATGGCTTACCAACATTTATGTAAAATATTTTGCTTTGTGTTAAACAGAAAACTCTGAAACAACTTCAGCATGAGTAAACATTCATTTTGGGGTTAACTATCTCTTTTAATCTCAATTCAAATGTTGGCATGAATTTAATAAATGGTTCTGAGTTTTTTCTTGGATGCTATATAAATGTATTTATTAATTGAAGAACTGTGATATTGAAGCAAACACATGTAAGCTCACTTTATGTACCCTATTTTATGTACCAACATATTCGTGTCAACAATAAAATACATGTCTTCACAGATACCAAGCTCATCACATTTGAAACAAGTATATGTTTACAATAATTACAATAAATAAAAAGGATAAAATAAAAACATCAAAGCTAAACAGAGTTATACTTCACAAAATAACCAACCTTAACATTCAATTCAAAAGTGAATTTTGTTTAAAGCATATTAACAAAATTGAATTTCGTTTTTTTTGTCATATTTAGTTTTAATTAATGTTGTAATAATTCTGTGTTATGAAACAAATTTAATTCTAAAAGCTAAAACAATAACAACTGCATTCTGTATTTTAAAAAGCTTTTAATAACTTTCATTTAAGTTTTTATTTTCACCCAAATTAAAAACAATTAACTTTAAATTTTTAATTTCTAATAAAATTAATAAAATAGCTACATTCCGTTATATTAATAACATTTGATGTTATTCAAACGCAGTGTTTTTATTACTTATATTTAATATATTTAGATTTGTATGTATTTATTAAAACTAATTTAACATTTACATTATAGGCTAATTCAATTCTAGTGAAGTAAAACGTGGCCTATTAGAAAAAAAATAAGAAAAAACAGCATGTTTACCCGTCGCTGAAACACAACTTGATGCACAATGGAGGATCAGTTTCTTGACATTGGGATGATTCTAATGAACTGTAGTTGTTGAATCCAATGTTCTCTTGAAGAGCTAAAAATGTCAATTGATAAATAAATCTTCATGTCTACCAAATTCCTCAAAATACCTCACAAGGCCCCATTTCCCTACATGGCCTACCGTATTCCGAGATTCCTTTGACATGAATCAGACAAAAAAAGAGTGATAATAATAAAAATAATTTAACCCTAACAAACAAAACCATCGTGAAAATTTGACTGTCTTGTCCTTAGAGCAAACGTTTCTCTGTCTCTTTTAAGTGTCAGGTGAATGGGAGGCGGAACCGTTCTTGATTGACAGCTTCCAAATTGTCGCCCGCTTTATTGTGAGCTCATGGGACAACTTAATGTAACATTATGGTAATGCCAGTGACATACTGGTTTTCCACTTTCATTTTTATTAGTACATTATGAGGTAATTAAAATTCTGTTAATAGTCATCCTTTTCTTAAAAAATCCTTTCTTCTGTTGAACATATAATAAAATATTCGGGGGGAAAAAAGATGGAAAGCTGTAACCACATCAATAGTATTTTTACAGAGTCAATAGTTACAAGTTTTTAGCTTAAAAAAATCTTATTTTATGTTCATCAGAAAAAAAACTTATGAATGTTTAAACCCCTAGAGGATGAACAGACAGTGATACAATTTTCATTTCAGGCCGAATGATCACTTTAAAGAGAAATAAGTAATGTAAAAATTGCATAATGGTAGTAAAATACGCTGTATATGTTTTATTTCTTGGCTTGTGAGTTATTTTCTAAACCTTTGTTTTTCCGTGTTAGCTTTTCACAACACATTCAAATAACTGACAAATGCGGCTTTGGTTCCGGCAAAGAACAATGCAAGTTTCACACAGGATAAACGTAAAGGTTTTGACACTTACAGCAACTGTATTCAAACAGGAAACCTAAGAGAATGAGAGAAGGCAACACAACAACGCTTTCTTAATTATGCAAAATAGCCTACTTTGAAAATTCTTCTCGGGTGAGTGCAAAATATTGTCAAGGCAGTGCCGCCTGAGAAATTGCTATTGTCTATGTATGAATTTATGCTCTAAGAGATTCATTATTTAAATCGGTTCCAATTATTCCACGAAAAAACAGCATCCACAAATACTTTTCACGAAGAAAGAAAGAAAGAAAGAAAGAAAGAAAGAAAGAAAGAAAGAAAGAAAGAAAGAAAGAAAGTGATATTTACACTAAAAATGTTAGAACTTTAAAATACAAAAAAAAATCTTTGAAGAATAAAAAGGTTCTTTGATGAAATTGGCACTTCTTGTATAGCCACATTTTTTTTTGCATAAGAAGTTGGGTAGCTTAGTGGTCTATTTCAGAATATGTCAGAATGTTTACACGCGCGTATTTCTTGTTTCTTGCTTAAATTTGTAAGTCATGATCTCTGCTGACAGTCTGACTGATGAAGATTTTGTTTCAAAGTCTTTTCCGGAATATACGTCAAGATTGGGAAGAAACAGGCGTTTTAGGCGAGACACGAACACATAGTTAGTGACCCAAAACAGGGCGACAAGTGCTGACCAAGCCAAAGGCTACTAAACAAAACCTGCCACTTCAAACAGCTCTGGAGGGAAACGCTTCTGTTCCACAGTGATGAATGAGGATTGAAGTGGACCATTGACGGCCAGGGTCATTGACGCCCAAGGGCACAATGGGTGACGGGGTTGAAGAAAACTAGCTTTCACCGAAAGATGTAGGCCCGAATCCCTCGTGGTATAGGCTAACATAAATACGATGTGGTTTTGGGGTGCGTAGCCTAAGTACCAACGCGCCATAAGAGGAGCGCGCCACCTTGTGTTTACATGGGCCAACAATACGACAAACAAACAAATTGCTAAATGAATTTAGACATCTCTCTAATTATTTCGACATTCATTTTAATTTTCATAATTAAAAAACAAGTAGGTAAAAAACATAATTAAGTAAAAAACATAATTAAAAAACCTATTATGAACTTCCCGATTTCATGCTTTAGGAATAAATCGTAAAGCTATCCCCATGTTTATGTAACCTAAAGATCAGATGTTTAAATATTTTTAGAAAGCCTATATTGACATTTCATTTTAAATGTTAAACAATGACCATAAAAATGCTAATGAAATTCAAGAAAATTAAATATGCATAAATAAACCTAAATAATAAAAATAAAGAAGTAATTTAAAATAAACTAACCTGAGCACGGTAGAAGAAAATGCTTACAACAATTGAAAATTACATGCACGAAATTATAAGATGTCAGCTTTCGCTATAAAGTTCATATTTTATGTTTGCTATAAACAGAAAAAAAATATTTAGATTTTTATAGCTAATAAATAAGAGATATTATGAAGAATTGTCTGCGCTATTTTTTACCTAGATTAAGCTGTTTAAAGTAAAACCTGGTTTATGCAATATTATGAATATTAGGCCTTTTTGTAATTAATATCAGAATAGCTTTATTAACTTCATTTTATTATAGTGACAATGTTCTCTGCTTTCGAAGCCAACTTTTCCAGAGGCCCAAGAAGGCTATCACAGTTGTCAAATTTTGGTGTTAAACGTTTAGACAAAACGAGAAATAATACATATTGAGGGAAGAAGACAAAGACAAAGTCTCAAATACAAGATTATATTGTCAGTTTTCATTGAATCTGCGCATGCAACTTCCAATTTGGTGTACTCAACGGTTTGTGGCTGTAGCTTTCTCATTTAAAAGCCTCAAGCGTGTATGGTTTAATTATATCAAGGCTTCTTACGTTTCTTGGACATGGCTGAAAAAGCGATGCCAAAACTGTTTGTTTCAACCTTGCGGCAAGAAAAGGTGATGATTAAAGTAAAACAATTACCTATTGACCTAACAAACAATGACCAACATTATTAAAATTAAATTGTTATAATAACTGATATTATTATATGTTATATTATTAGGCTATATAAAGTCCTAACATTTTCCAAATAAATAAAATGGAAACTAAATAGGCCATGTTTTTTTTATTTTACACTTACAAAGTGATTTGCTATTCGGTCTGGTAGCCTATAGGTTATAATTTTGACAAATCTGGGGAAAAAGACATACATAACAAAACAGTGCCAATTGCAAAAGTAGCATCTGATTGACACCAGAAGAGGAAACAATAAACAAAGAATGGGCTGCCATATGTTTAGCAGCTGTTCTTCAATCCACAAATCAGACGGCAGGGGGCGATAACAAGTGAATCCATGATTATTAATAAAACCTCCTTCTCGATAATCGATTGTCATTTTCCATGATCCTTTTCTGGGGAGTTTCCTAAACAACACGAACGCTTAAATGCGCGGCATGAAATGTAAAAATGCTAGTAGCTCAGGGCCACTAACCTTTTTTTTAAACATCACTAAATAATTAGTCTGTTGCAGCTGTATAAAATTGGTTCACAACTGATGTTTTTGTATACGTTTGTTTTTAAATTCATTAAGGTAAATTATGCACAAATTGCCAGAGACTGTACATGAAAACAGCGCTGACTCATGTATTGAGGCCCTGCTGTGAATGATCCAGGCAAGGGTATTAAGTCTAACGATCGTGTTGCCAGCCTACCGTACTGCGGATTGAAATCAAGCGGTCTGCTCTTTGCTCCACAGAGCGATAACGGTGACAGCAGTACACGACGTACAACGCCTGTTAAGGGCGAGGACGAGTTACTTGCAAATGAGGATTAAACACTCTCTTGAGAGGGTTGGATTCAACAATATATTTATTTCACTGATATTTTTAAAAGCCTACAAATCTTTGTGCAGTCTCCATGCCCTCAGGATTTCATTTACAGTTGGGAAAGATTTAAACACGGGAAAGAGCCCGTAATTCTAACATGATTTGTTCCGTAGGCTTATACGGTTTTTGCTGTCCGAAGCAGTAACACGGCTGTCTTGATTAGACCTTGTTTAAAATGCTTAAATACACTTCCTTTACTTAGGCCTAGTCACTAAAGTGATCTAGCAGTCATTTAAGATTACAAGGAATTAAAATCGACAAACAATAACTGAGTGTATGTGATAAAATACCTTTTCGTGTTGTAGACCAAGATTTCTCAAAGACAGAGTTTTAAAAAATAGGTTAAACTAAGCTTTGTTGTCTCTGATTAATTACAAACACAATAATCCACACCACTATAAAATATACTTTTGTTTAACAGGCCTATTGTACATGAAACAAGACAAACAAACTAAATTAAATTCATTGCTATTGCTAATTTCTTTATTACATTTTATTTACTTCTTTGTTTTTCACAAGTGTTTAAAATGGAGTGGTTTTAGTGTTTCATAAAGTCATGTTGGCTGATATTTTTCAATCCTTTCCAGCAAGGTCTCGGAGTAACCAGGGGAATAATATCTGTAAAAGCAGAAAACATTTAATTGAAAAAAAAATCATACAACATATCAAATCAATACAGAACCACATTGTTTGGTTTAAAATATTTTGATATGGTGCTTTTTATTATGCATATAAATGTGCATGTACCTGACAATCTCTTCAGGGTAACAGTTGTTGATTGCATTAATATATTCCTGAATTGCAGAACCAGGTTCTGCTTTGATCTCTTGTACCTTCTTCAAGCCACCACTGGTAACAAACAAACGCCGTGCCTTGCTGTCATGAGGAAGAACCTTTGAGATTGAAAAGAAACAGTAAAGTATTTTAAGCAGTTCTCAGTAAGAACACATTGTTCAAATGTTTGATAATAAAAGCAATATGTTCCTGCTACCTTACTGAACTGGCAGATGACATGTTTAAGAATGTTGCTGGGAGCTTCATAGAGAAGAGGCTCCAGTGCTGGTAGATAAGTACACTTCTGAAGGATGCTCTTCAGTCCCTTTTTGGCCTTTTTGAGTACAAACACAAAGCCAATAGAAGACACCATTAGGGTCTAAAAATCAGTGAAAAAACATCCAAATGAATACACACCCCTATCAGTCACAAATATGTCTTTGTTCACCTTGACCTGCAGATCTTCAGAACTCTCTGTGTCCAAATAGAGGTTTAGGAGTTTAGGGAACACATTAGCCACAGCAACTACTTTTGCATGCTCAGGTGTGTGTCGACCGATTTGGCCAAATGCCCAAGCTATGGCTGCTTTGACGTGATCTTCTTGCTCTTCCTCAAGGCAGATAGCCAACTGTGGCACTCCCTATAGAAGTGGAGAATTAAATATGAAAATAGTTAGTTAATATGAGAGCAATACACGACTGTTCTAATGCCTAAACCTTTTAATGCTGGTGTGCATAATTTAAGTTTTAAGATTGAGTAATGAAAACAGACTTTAGATACAATCACAGCCATTGCTAAGTTCTCGGAGTGTGCAGCCACGTAGCCCAGCATCATGATCCCCGGCAGGCGTACATTCCCTTTGGAGTCCCCGAGGTAGTCAATCACAGCTGCTACGCCCCCCACATTCACTATCATCTGGGACAGCTGAGACGGAAACACACAGTGAGTAAAAAGCAAACACACAAACCAGTGTGACATAATAATAAACAATTAGCAAGGCAGACCAGAAATGTAATAATGTAATAAAATACAATTTAGGCAGGTGAAAAAAAAATGGATGATGCAATGTGGTTTCCAATTGTCTGTTTCCTGTGTTGCACTAGTGATAAATAACAGACCCACATTCTCCATGGTTTACAGACTAGCTGCCTCACACCATGCTATTTAAACATGGGGTGTCAAAGAGCTGACAAAGTGGAGATTCCAAAGTTACCCAAGCATCTTGAAATCATTTAGTGGGTATGTTATGTATGTGGTAGGTACCTCGGGGGTGTGTTTTGTGATTTCCCGAATAAGAGTGGCAACATTCTTCCGAACATATTCATCAGGGTCCTTTAGGCAAACGAGTGCAGCAGGGAATATCTCAGCCTCCACCACCATCTCAGCTACATCAACAGAATGCTTGGCGATTTGACCAAGAGCTGAAAAAACCTGCCTCTGTAAAGAGGAGTAAAAGAGTACACTGTTAAATTAAGGCTTTTAACCGTGCACTTAATCTGGGGCTAATCATTTTTTTAAGCATAGCTTTAAAACACATTTGTAATTTAGAAGTAGGGGTTGCACTTATTTTCCTCTTGAAGCCCTGTTGCCACTGATGTAATGTTTGATGCATAGGGTACACAATATAGAAAGCACATCTTGAAGTCCACATTGGTTGAATTGTACAAGATATCTGAGAAACACCATATTTTTAAACTTTACAATATACAAAACAAGTAGATATTGGTTGGTTTACATTTTGTTCAGACAGCCTCTTGAGCAGTCCTATAATGGCCAATAATAGCTGTTATGGTGGCCAGACCTTCTGTCATCAGTCTGAAAGTCTGGCTACGCACGACTGGGCCCCCTGGACAGTTTGTGCCTTGGGCCCGTGTCGATCTTGTAGGGGGATTGTAGTGGTTTCCCCCTTGGGCCCCCTCTCTTATCATGGTGTCTAGAATGGTACTAACTCTTCCTTCTTTACAGTGACCCTAGTTAGCAGCGCATCTGCTGTGAACGTTAACATCCTGTATTGCATAAACTGTCAAACTGTGCTAAGTGGTGTTAAGGAAAGTTTTATCCCTACATTCCTTAATATATAATGTCCTAGCACACACATTCAGTTGTGTTAAGTCAAGCTGTAGTTAGACC